CATAGAACAAATATGTGGGATTCATTTCCAGATCACTGATATGCAAGTCTTTGCTTTGAAAACGCCAAGTGAACAGTTCTACTTCAAGACTCTGCATTGATCCATTTCTTCAGAGCACACTACTGCATCTCTCTGAGCAATGCATGTATCATTTTGCACACATCGGTTTGTGTGAACTTGTGATTTAACGAACTCTCGGAGAGTCCCATAACTTGAAAAGTGAGGGCGAGTATTTGTCATAGACTAAAGGTTCCCTTGTGAGTGTGTGATGAATGAAGTGGAAGCAGAGCCTCTGTGTTCAGAGTCACAAATGGTTGTGGCCGTTTGCAAGGCTCTCATTATGGGCAGAAACATTCTTTTTTTCCAGACCGATCAGAGCTGCTTTTCTGCAAGACTGGAGAAGGAGCTGATGCATCCGTGCTGTCCTGATCGAGCTCTCTCTCTCTCTGCATGTGTCCTTTCCTGACCAATTTGTGTCACACAGGATTGTACCTCATTCATTAAGCTAAGTAATAAGGCTCTGTTTAATTATAGCATAGCTGAGGACGTCTAGCTTTTAAAATATCAATAGTTTAAAGCCAATTGTTAATTAATTGACATGCTTAATATCTATAACCCACCAAACAATCATTAATGAATGATCATCACTAAAAGCTATTGAAAACTCAACATTAGATAGAGTATAGCTTCCATCCTGCAGACCAAAAGCTCAGTTTCTCTGTCACTTAAACCTACATCTTGGGCTGTAAGCCAGCCAGACTGGTTTTATATTGGGGCTGATACTATGACCTTTAATTAATATTAAAAGGATAAAACTCTTGGTTCCCTTTGCCTGAAGATTGCTGATGCCCTTGAAAAAGAAACATTCTTTATAACACATGGCCCTATCACAGAGATAAAAAGTTTTATCATTACTTCTCCATTTTTCATAATAATGGATACTCCCAGAAAAACCAAAGCATGTACTCAGCAGGCCTGGAATATTGTATAATACTGACTATATAAATGTTCCTGTCTGTAGCAGCCTAAAATAGATGCAGTTATCAACAATCACTACAAGGCCACCACAGTCACATATTCTATTCTTTAACACGACTGTGCTAATAAATTAGCATTAGTCTGATTTAAACAACACAGCTTGGATGGCTATTATATCTAAAATGTAAAATAAAATATTTAACATTTTGATATTTTTAATGTTTAATATTAAATATTAATATTACATAATATATTAGATTATGTATTAACTGTTTATACTATTGCAATAGGTTTTAATATGAATATAATGCCTATATTCTATATAGTCATTATACAGAGTAGAGTGGCAACAATTATGAAAAAGTCAAAAGGAGGGTGAAAAACAGAAAAAATAGGGGGAAATAATAAAAGGTGGAAAAAACACTGGAAATAGGAAAAAAGAAAATCAGAAAAAAGATGGAGGGATAGTAATACCATCAGCACTTGATACTGCGTCTTTTCTCCAACGAAGGTGACACTGATAAGCAAAGCCCCAGGCGGCTTCTTCAATAATTCTCCAAATGTTGTACACAAACATTCTAGAGATGTTGTTCATGATGGTCAGGCTGCATTTGTGGCTTTTGCTTCTGACCGAAAAATGTGCCTACATCGTACTACCCTGAATCCTACTCATTATTGATTTCATCTCCTGAAGAAAATAGTAAAAAAAGTGCCTATTTATTTTTTTAACAAATAAGGCATCCAATCACTATACTGGACAAAAGGCAATATGTTTAGTGTTTTTAGTGATTCTCCACCAGCATACAGCCTCATGCATCAGTTGTGTACGTGACTTGAGCCTCATCACTACTGCAAGCATACACGACTGCATTAAAAACGATCGTATTGTGACAAGGATGTGCATTTAAAGCAATGCTGTTCAATCAAAGAGTGCCGTATGACCATGAGTATGACACTGCACAGTGAAATGTCAATGCCCCCACCCTCTGTTTTACAGAAGTCATTCCTCCCACTCTACACTGACATTTAGTGCAGACGTCGGTCATCTGTCCCCCTGAAATGGTACAGAGCCACTCTAGCACCTGTGAACTAGTGCAAAGCAGGTTCATCCCAATGTTATGCCTGTCCGGCATTAGAATCAATCATCAAATCTTTTTGTTAACAAATCAGCCTTGTTTAAAAAGGTTGGGTAAGACAAGAGTCACCAGACATTATTTTCCAGTTTTGTCTGAATTTATTAAAAAATCCTATTGCCACAAATTATTATGTGATAGGGCACAGCAGAGGCATGTAACCTTCATTACGACTATATTCGCTCCTCTTCAGGCACTCAGAACTGAATTGAATGAGACTGCATGTTAGATGAAATTCAATAACTCAGGAAGACACGGTTTCATTATTCTTAATCACCCCTGTTCCGTCTTGTTAATTTAATTTTCATTTCGGCTTGGGGTTTGCAGTCATTGGTCCGAATAGTGGGAAAGGTATTTTTTCGATATGACGAATCATAAAACATGAGGGTAGACGTAGAGGGTAGATGCCCATAGCCAAACCTGTTTGTGTTGCTCACTGGAGAGAAGAGATAAGACTGTTTAATTGCACTTTTTGTAATCTTCGCTCCCACTGTCTAATTTCTAGCTATGAGAAACCAGGCTGTTGACACGTCATTCTCCAAAAAGGCAAGATAAATATTTCATCCACAAAGACAACAGATGCCTTGTTTTCAAAAGATTGATCTGTTGTATCATGCAGCACAGCAATAAAATGATGCAAAGAGCTATGACTGCTGCAACCTCAAATGAAACATGAAATGATAGGGATATTTCTGGAATTTCACACACTGACAGAAACCATAATCACCTACACAAATGCAAACCAGCCCACATGTCCAGAAGACAGTGGCATAAGTGACTCTATGTAATGCTCCACTGCGGTAAATGCAAAACACCATTATCAAGCCCTCCGGCATCAGACGACAGTCCTCTAATGCACCTGGCTCAGCATAATCACTTAACATCAGGGCTAAACACACACACACACACACAGACTATACCATCACTGTGATGAATCAACTCAGAGACATGGAACACATTTCTTCCTCCACTAAACATAAGATAGAATACATTTTTCAGATCTGTCATACTGAGACTTGATTTGAAATTGTCGTACCGCTATCTCACGCTATGCGGTTTCACAAGGCCAGTTCATCTTTGAGGACAATGGCCAAACCATCCTCTGCTGGAAAGTGGTAGCTTTGAGCATCCCTAAGTCTGTATATGAAGTCAGATCAGATGTTTAGTCAGATAAAGTACACCACTATGGGACAAGACTGGCCAAGACTACAAAACAGCAACAAAAATGCTTGGAGATTTTCCTGCAAAGAAAATATTAAGCTATGAATTTATTTACATTCAGTACAAAGAATCATCTGACCCATTCATTATGTTTGGGATCTATGCTTTAGTCTTTATACACTTTGTATAATTACCAACCAAATCCACTAATATATCATATCTCCATCCCACTGACATCTGAAAATGTGACCACCACATTATGTCTCTGTATAAATAATTCTGAAAATATAAATAGAGGAAAACACATGTGATGATGTGTTGGGAATTGTCATGAGCACCCATCAAGTAAAATATTTTTGAGAAATAAAAAAATCGATTTTGTTTTAAAAAAGAAACAATTAAAAAAAACATAAATTAGTCATATGAAATGCTGCAAGTAAATGTAGGCATCACATAATTATATTTAAAAATATATTTATTATACATATTAATATTTTATTCTTAATATTGTTAATATAGCTTTTTATTATATAAATTATAGATATGTGACCCTGGACCACAAAACCAGTCATAAGAGTCAATTTTTCTAAATAAGCTGAATAAATAAGCTTTCCATTGATGTATGGTTTGTTAGGATAGGACAATATTTGGCCAAGATAGCTAATCAAAAATTAAGTTTTAATATATTTACAGTGGGAAATTTACAAAATATCTTAATGGAACATGATCTTTACTTAATATCCTAATGATTTTTGGCATAAAAGAAAAATCTATAATTTTGACCCATACAATGTATTTTTGGCTATTGCTACAAATATACCCCAGTGACTTAAGACATTTTTCTGGAGTGCCTCCTCAAACTTTTCAATCATTTTAAATTAAAAGATAAAAGCTTTTTTGAGAGTACTTGAGGGCAGAAACAAACAGATCATCTGAACCTGTGGAGTGCAGCTCTGCAGTGAACCGAATGCTAATGGTGGAAGCCCATCTGCCCCCATCACACATTATTGGATTTAATTCTTTAGATGAATATAGCTTTGGATGGCTGCAATCATAACTCTTGTTTATTTCCATACATCAATCAGGACAGAAGCAAAAGAGATCAACCTCCCTGATTATCAATGTCAATTCTGTCTATTAAAATGGAATAAATGCATTACGGACACTACGACATTGGCTAATCATTCTCGTGGATATCTTATAGTAACTTTTGGGTGCTACCAGGCAGCAAATGAACTCATTATCCAAAACCTAGACCCTTCGATAAGGAAGAAAGGCAGGATAAATAGTGGAAGTATGGCATCTCTCTCCTCGATGTGCAGCCATCTGCTGTGCTTATTGTTGGGTCTGCTTTAAACTGCATTAGATAACTCTTGTCAGAGCTAATTGGCTCATAAGGGTCCCTAATTAGGGAGATGGGCATGTTTGTAAGCATTGGACTCTACAGAGCTGTTTCATGTGGCTGTCAAGGCTTTATATGTACTTCTCAGAGCATCTAATCAAATTCCATGTGAAGGAAAAACCCCAAAACAGAAAAGGGAGAACAGATTTACCACAGTGTAAAGTCATACAATATATGATACAATGTCAAACAACTGAATTAATCAGCAGATACTTGACTATTTTGAAATTACAAGGACTCTGCCACAAAGCATACAATGCCCTTATCATGGTTACTGTATATTCTTGTGATGGAAAGCGCTTTATGCTTTATGTTTTGTGACATACCTCTCGTCGCCTGGAGGCCCAACAGGTCTGTTTGATCTTCCACACCACTGCAGCTACCAGCAACAGCGACAGAAAACAGCTGTGGGGTGACAAAAAGAAGGGATGGAAAGATTAAACACGATGTAGAAATTTCTGATATATATATATATCAACAAATCACTAGGGATGGGCGGTATGGCACTATATATCAAGCAACAGTAGAAATGTGCCAGCTGGTAAAGAATTTGCTGTACTATTTATAATATAATAGATTTCTGTGTAACTATCAGGGGTTTATCCAATTACAATTTAATGTTGGAGCAAGCCGTTGGCTTTACTGATCTGAGCCTTTTAATTGATATTTAACAGATGCTTTGATGTATTGGTGAAAAAAAAAAAGTCAGAGATTGCAATGGACAGCTAACAGAAAAGGAACTAGGAGATTCAAACGATGCAATGAAGATGACACATTCCCCTTAGGCCAGATGAGTTTTCTTCAGTCTCATAAAGGACCACTGACATCAACCAGACCATATGAGACAAAAATGTCACTGTCATCCCCCTGATGATTTAATTTTCTGCCAATTGAGCAACCATTTTTAGTCTTCCTGGCATCCCTGACTGTCTCATTGCAGTGAGAGTAGGATCCAAAGGACGATCGTATGGTATGACACACCCCTCTTACAATCGATGCTTAGTCAAACTCGTAGTCAAATCACTCCGCGTTACAGTTTGCTGACTCACTGAGCTCCATGTAAATGAGCAAATGTCTGGGAACTTAAAGGGGTCATATGATGCGATTTCAAGTTTTCCTTTCTCTTTGGAGTGTTACAAGCTGATTGTGCATAGATAAGATCCCTGAAGTTGCAAAGACTTAAGCCTCAAAACCAAAGAGATATTCTTTATCAAAGTTAAGACTCTGCCACGCCCCCCCTAAAACGGCTCGTTCTAACACGCCCCCACATATCTACCTCACTATGTGGAAATCAAATCATTTGAAGGACATTTTTGGTGATTTCACAGATGCAGACATCAAGAGGCACGTCCCCTGTCTCATCTGAATGAAGTAATCTACGTGCAGAATGGATAAAAAGAGACAGTTACAGCAAACCTGGGAGGGGAGGTACTCTTGTCGAACCCTGAAGACTGAACAGCATGCGCTAGATATTAAATAAAAGCAAATGGATTGCAGGAATTGAACCAAATGAATCATCTTGCATTTAACAAAGAGACTGTTAAAAGCCATTCACGGCGTGGAAATGCATTTTCGCTATTGCTCATGGTAACCACTCTAATTTCAGGTTGCACACTGACAAGTTCTCAATCAGTGATACATTTCTGACACCCCCCTGCAGAGCCCTTTTTACAGAGAGGGTCATTTTTTAGATTATAATAACTGGAAAGATTATATTATAAGGAAAGTAATATAACAGGTTTGTATGTTAGGCAGCATCTGTGGCAGTTTTGGTCTATTTCCACTTTTAATGTGTTGTATTTCGGAGAAGCGGTTCATAATTCAGGGGGAGATGTGTGGAGAGATATACCTTGTCAGCGACCATCTCTCTAGCTGTACTGGTAATTGAACAGAATCTGCCTGAGGCTAGTCTTGATTCCAGCTGTCATGAGTTTGGCTATCTGACTCGGTGGGATAAAAGCACAAATCACATTGATGAAATCAGGAAACCGCTCATTGGAGGAAAACACTCGACTGGCAGCACAAATCCTGCCTACTGGTAACTCCCATACAACGATGCCTAAATATTCGTTTGTTTTTTGAAAAAGTGACACTTTCTGAGGGAAAGATACAGTACATACACACAACCAGTGGCATAACTTTGCTTTGAAAAGTGGTGGGGACACCGCGCAACTATTTTACAAGTTTTTTATTTAATAACCTAATTTACTTGGGGACTGGGTTTAGAGTTGGACAAACTTAATTTTTGCTTTTCAAAAATACATCGACCAGTGGTGGCGCCAGAAAATTTTGAACGCAAGTGCTGAGGGGGTGCTAGATCATTGACAGAGGGAGCTATGGCAATTCAGGGCTCCAGACTCATTCTTCCCACTGGTCGCTCTTTTGCTATTAACTTTCTTAGGTGGTTGCACTAGCACGTTTTGTATTTTGTTTTTTTTGCACTACAACATGCTATTAATCAATGCATGCTGACGAACTTTTATCGTAGTTTATAGTTATATGGAAACGAAAGTAGTAAACATTCAACCCATTCTTTTTCATCAGTAGTATTATTTGTGATTTGAATTTTGTGAACGGGAGTTCCTCTTTTGCCATGTTATAAGCCAGGCTTCAGTTGCTTTCACTTTCGATTTCACGATCTTGTCAGGTTTTACAATAAAATATAATAGTCTGTATAGCTTACATCTATACACCTTTCATCTTTTAAGACTAAAAAAAAGATGGATTCATTATTTTTAATTAAAATGCACAACAACAATAAAACAGATTCAATGACAAACTAGCTTACAAAACGTTATTAACAAAAACGAATAAGATGAGGCATGGCACAGGCCTACACGCTGTATTAGGCTATATAATGACTAATAAATGACAGAACGTTTAGCAAACACTGAGGAATCAAAAAAAAAGAAAGAGAGAGAGAGAGAGAGAGAGAGAGCGCGAGAGAGCCTCCATAGCATAACGTGAGGTAAACAGCAAAGATAAGCTTTTCAAAATGAAAACAAAACAAGAAGAGAAGTAAAACTAAACTTGCTGCCAGTGACACTGCTTGCATGTTTTTTTCCCCCACAAGAATACCAACATGCTCACCTTCTCTGGTTTCAGAAGCGGTCTTTTACTTGACTTAAGTGTGAAAACCATCAATATTCGCGTCATTTTTGCTAAGCGCACCTTCTGCAATTAATAGTAAATATAACCAAAACAGGTTATTATAATTTTTATATGAATAATAAAATAAATATAAGGAAAACTAGCCCACTCGATTTTGTAATATTCTTTCATTTTGTAGTCCGTATAAAAGGTGCATTTCTATTAAAGGCACGTCCATGTGGAGATGGCGAGTCGGCGTCGGCATTCGGCAACCTCATCTTTGCACCCGACACTGTCTCAGAAAGCACTAGTTTATTAATAAATAATTAAAATGTCTTCTTTTCCCCCCGACACGTTCATAATCACTTTGCCGGTGCTTTGAGGCAATTGCTTTATGCGCGAGCTTAAGCTCTAGCCTAATACGTATGCCTATAGGCTATATTGAAGTATGGTTAATATATTATTATATTAATCAATTTAATATAACATGCGACTAGTTGACTAGAAAAATCTTTAGTAACGGGCAGGCCTACTTAGCACAAGGAAGCTCTCCATTTTTAAAATAAAATGCTATAGCCTAATGACATTACGAAAAGTGTGACAGCTGCAAATCACGTCGTTATTGCACTGCACGAGTTATGCATGCGTAAGGAGTCAAATGTTGTTGTTGTTGTTTTTATCACACTAATTAGATTATGAAGAATGATTTGTTGATCTTGTTTTCCCTTTAATACATACCTTCGGCAATATATTTTTCAATTACTTTCAAAAAGTGGTAGGGACAATATCGACCCTGGCAAAAAGTGGTGGGGACATGTCCCACCCGCAAATTACGCCTATGCACACAACGGTCCACTAAGTTTGGGGTTGGCAATTTACCTAGGGTGCATTTATTTGATCATAAAATACAGTAAAAACAGCAATGTTTTGAAATACTATTACGATGTAAAATAACTGCTTTCTATTTTAATACATTTTAAAATGTGATGTATTCCTGTGATAGCAAAGCTGAATTTTCAGCAGACATTACTCCAGTCTTCAGGGTCACATGATCCTTCAGAAATCATTCTAATATTCTGACTTTAACCGAGATATTCTAATATAACTGACTTCAAAATATTAAATGGTAGTGTACGTGGGGGTGAACACTATTATGGATGAACACTTTAAAAAAAGAAGAAAAATCATTGTTTGACACTTTATCCTATTTGTCATGGCACATTTTCCACAGCAATTCACAAGGTTAAAACAAGTAATCTGGCAAGTACACAACCATTTGAAATCAACTATGCTTCTTCTCACCTATTGCTTCTAGATGTCAAGGGAAGGCGCGCTGAAGCTGGGGCAATTTCCTGTATGATGCGTGAGCATCATACATACAACAGCATGTGAACTTCCCAGATGACAGAACGGTTTTCAACGCCTGACAGTTTCTCATTCACCTCAAAAGACTGTTCTTTCTTCACCTATATTTGAATAAATGATGTTGGTGAACAGATGCTTTTGAAGGTGCTTCTGAAGGTACGTTTGAATTTAGCAGACTGCTAGGAGGAAATGCCAAGCTTCTATTACAAACATTTTCTAATGTCGGTAAAGTAACGGATTAATGGAAGCATGCTTGTGCTGCAAGTGTTGATGACTACACACACTAAGGCAAGCTTGAAGTTAACTAGTTAAACTGATTGCCCAGGCAGTCAGAAACAAGCGAGCTGTATAACATGACTGTTTGGAGCACAAGTTGACCCCGTGTCAGAGTGCATCAGTGTTTGACACCAGCTTCCAGAGGGGGTGTCTAATCCAGGACAATGATCTGAATCCAGGACAAGCACCAGAGGGTGCAGCAGCACCAAGAGATTGACCATTCAGAAAGAGAAAGATGCCCTCTACAACCAAATCTAATAAGACATAATGGGAACAGGTGTGCATTTAATGACAAATCAAGAAATTGCACAGAAATTAACAAATCAGGATGACAGATCTACCTTGTGGCAATGACACCTCGTACAAATGAGGGGGCAGAGCAGTTTTGCATGAAGCATTGCGTGGTAGCAACAGTTCATTTTCAGTTGTATTTTGTCTAATCTTGTGCAGCCAAAACCAAAAATGCTGTCATTGCTTACTCACCCTCAATTTGTTCCATTTCAATATGAATTTATTTCTGCTGTGCTGCTTAAGAAGGAGACATTCTGAAGAAAATGCTGGTTGTATTTTTTTCCAAGAAAAGTGCTGGTTGTATGCAATTACGGTGCTGAAAGGTGTTTTCAAGTTTCAAAAAAGACACAAATGCAACATTAATGTGGTTCATTGTATTATGTGGTGTGCATTATATTCTGAAGTCATATAATAGCTTTATATGAGAATCAGACCTAGATTGAAGTCATTATTAAAATTATTTCTCTCCATGAGTCAATACAACGTTTAAATCCATTTTGTAAACCAACTCAAGAAATGTATTGAAATTATTTGACCCTCAACAAGTATTTTTTCCCAAATCGGACATTGTTATGTAATGTGGTGCCAAAAAAAGCTAGGCTGGATGTCAAGATTTTCAATCAACTTTAATTTCCCACTACTTAGGTAATACATTTCTTTAAAAGACTTGGAATATACAGTAAAGATAAACAGACACATTTACCATCGCTCTGAGAAAATTAGCAGGCGAAATCCAGTCATTTCAGAAGGAATCCTCAAAATGGGGAGTTTTGCATGAGGGTAAAATTGGTGACGCAAATTTACCGCGTTTATCAACAGAAAGCTGCTTGGTTTGAAAGTGACTTCTACGTAAGAGATGCTTAAAGGGATCATTCACCCAAAAATGAAAATTCAGTCATTAATTACTCGCCCTCATGTCATTCCAAACCCTTTGTTCATCTTCGGAACACAAATTAAGATACTTTTGATGTAATCTGAGAGCTTTCTCCACGTTCAAGGCCCAGAAAGGTAGTAAGGAAATTGTTAATGTGATTCAACAGCAATGTTCTTTGTGCACAAAAAGTTTCATAACACTGCGGATGAACCACTGATGTCACAGACTATTTTAATGATATTCTTACTACTGTTCTGGACCTTGAATTTGGTAGTTGCATTGCTGTCTATGAAGGGTCAGAAAGCTCTCAGATTTCATCAAAAATATCTTAATTTGTGTTTCGAAGATGAACGAAGGTCTTATGGGTTTGGAACGACATGAGGGTGAGTAATTAATGACAATTTTAATTTTTGGGGGAACTATCCCTTTAATGAATTGCTACAATAATGACTATGGATCTTTTTCTCATGACATTTCGCCATTTTGACTGCAATTCTATCAAAGTGCACTACATCAGATCATATAGGACTTTAGTTGAATACGGTAGTGTAAGCAATAGGGCTGTCAAAAAAAAATTCGAATTTCGAATATTCGTCGAATTTAACAAAAAAATCCGCATTCTAATGCAAAAACGTTGCATTCGAAATTAAGGTCTGCGTCAGCCGTCAGGCAGCCTTATCAGTGGCCCACGAGATGCGATGACGATGTATGTGTCATTGATTGCATTTGAATGCTTTTGTTAGCCTATCCAGTTGAACCAACTAGATGCGGCGCTGCTACGTTGTTCATTCATATATTGTGGAAAACGAGAGCATCAGTGTGGAGAAGATGCTGTTTACGTCAAAACTGAAACCAAGCCGTTCATACAGAAAGCATAATTATCACATTTTCTAGAGGGACATCTATCAGCGTTGTACTCGCGTCTCGCAGAGAGCGGCATGTTTAGAAAGCCATGTAAAATTAATGCAAAGTTCAACTTTTAAATAACATGTCTAAAGACGTTATGGCAGTTCTCCCCCATCCCACTGTATTTCATGTTTTTAAATGAAGAAAGTAGCCTATTCTTTGTGATTGGTTTTCGGTCCTTTGTATTAAACTATACATACATGCATGGTGCTGTTTTTTTTCTTCTAATTGTTCAAGCAACTTTATTAATTATATATGGTTTATAAACATTATTTTAAACATTATGCACTTTTTTTCAAAGATAGTCGTGTTAAAGATAGTTATTACGCTTTGAAGAAACGTGCATAATATTTTGCTCGATGCGCCCTCTTGTGGCCTCAGGAGAGAAGCCAAAAGCTTTTTCCCCCTAAGTGAAATTATGCCTTTTAAATTCCAATATAATTCGAATTTTGATAAGTAGATAATTCTAATTTAGTTTTTCAGTCATTTTGACAGCCCTAGTAAGCAAGAAGGTAAAGCTGAACAAGTGTTAATTTTGACAGGCATTTTTTATTTAGTCTTGGTCTTTATCTTGAGACGAAAATGCTTAATAGTCTTAGTCACATTTTAGTCATTTGAGTCTTTCATAGTTTTAGTCGACGAAAGGTCATTGCATTTTTGTCAACTTTTCGTCAAACTGCAGTTACCAACATTTATTTTGGTAGCTATTTTATATGTAGTTTTCAAACAAAAATAGTAATTAATTATTCTCTCTTTAGACCAAATCAATTAAGCTTATGAGACATTTGAATCAAGGATTGAATTTGGAAAAACTTGAATAAATGATGACAATTTTCATTTTTGGGTGAACTATCCCTTTAACAGTAGTGAAAAGGGAGCAACTATAAAAATAATAGTTGTTCATGTATAATATAGACAATATATATAATTTTTGAAAAAGAACCACAATAAGACACATATGAAAGAGATGCAAATTAAACAAATTTTTCAGATACAGTAGGTTTACTTAACGTGTACATTTATTTAACATCTTTTGTTGGTTAACATTAATGACACAAATAGGTACTTAATTACTTAGGTACTTAGGTACTTAACATGCCTTCTGTCCCTAAAACAGAAGGCATGCATGTAATACTGACACGCGTTCAGTTTTCACCCACCTGTTTACATTCACTTAATCCATAACCGACTGTATTTACGTGAGATACTATACACGATAGACATTTGGACAGCTGTGTGTGTATTTGAGCACTGAGAACTGATCGCGCGCTGTATATGAGAACTGAAGAAGTGGAGCGTGTGCGAGAGAAAGCACTTCTATCAGCGCGATTCCGCCTATCCTAGTTAATTGACAACAAATTGTGACTCCCGGGAAAAACAGGACGTCTGGTCACCTTATCCCTAACCCTTCGGGTGCTGAGGCCATTGTTTCAGATGCATACTGAGAACAATACATATGCGAACACCCCTTATCCGATTGCAATCCAATGACAGGGACGCACATTTTGAAGGACAAGACAGTAGCCTATAGGATGTATTTTGAATGTCAGGTAGTCCTCAAATAACATCATAGTCCCGTCTCATCTTGTTAACGAAGACACGGCATAAATTTCGCCATAGTTTTTATCATCATATATTAGTTTTAGCTCGTCAACGTCTCGTCTTAGTCACAGAAAAAAATTTCTTTAACGAATATTTTTCGTCCTCATCTTTGTTGACGAAGTTAACACTGAGCTGAAGGACATTGAATGTAATTGGGTCTCATTTCCTCTTGGCCTAAAGAGCTCTCTCAGCACTGACTCATTACTCCAAAAGAGAAAAGGCAAGGGACACATCATGTGCTGAGGAATCCAACACAGGCAGGCTGTCACTAAATGATTCTACATCAGCTTAACAGCTGAAAGATGCTGTCACGATCAACTTATGTTATATCACACACCTTTGAAACGGCAAGCACTCACCTGAAAAATGTTACAAAGAACTGCACCAGGTCCATAATGCTGTTGTGCTGAGAGAAGGCGATCTGTGAGGGGACAAAAGCAAAAGTGAGATAAATGATGGGGTGACAGGTTACCAAAGAACAGCTCTTTACATGAAAAGATGATGAAGACATTTGCTTGCGGCTAGGGTCCTTCACAAGAGATAATGTCATGACAGATTTTTTTGCTTGAGGGGTCATCATGTACATAATTTTTTCTTCTTCCTCGTCCCCTCTAATTGCTAAATGGAGGCAATGATGGCTGCTCATGGCTACCTGAGCTGACATCCCTCAGGCATTACCCACATGCCAAACGTCTGCCTTCTGGGATTGTGGTTTACATTAGACTTAAATGCACAGGTGTAGCTCAACCTGGCTAGGAATGGACATAATGACACTGTTGGATAAAAGTTTGTAATTACATGTTCAAATTGGCTAAATTTTTGCACACGGGGATTAAAAGGTTATTTCACCCAAAAATTGTCATCATTTATTCACATATTTATTCATACAAGTTTGGAACAAAATGAGGTGAGTAAATTATGACAGAAGTTTCATTTTTGGAGTAAACCCTTTCAGGACAGCTTTAAGATTATGTCACTTGAAGTACAGTTGTGCCCAAAATTATTCATACCCTTGGTAAATATGATCAAAGAAGGCTGTGAAAATAAACCCGCATTGTTTATCCACTTGATCTTTCATTCAAATTTTTTTTTTAAATCTAACCTTTAATAACCTTTTATAAAAGTGAAAGTGGGGGAGAACCACATTATGAAATAAATATTTTTCTCTAATACAGTAGGAGGACGTGTCTCTATATCGTCCTAATGCATGGTGAGGAGGACAGTTTGAGTTGCCAAAGACTCCAAGGATCACAGCTGGAGAACTGCAGAAAATTGTTGAGTCTTGGGGTCAGAAAGCCTCAAAAAAAAAAAAAAGCAATGTTGTTTGGGAGGGTTTCAAGAAAAAACGATAAAAGAAAACGCTCTCATCCAAAAACAAAACATATATATTTGCTAGAATGACAACTGGAACTTTAAACGGGACTGGGTTCAATGGTCAGATGAAACTAAAAAAAAAATTTGCTTTTAAGCAGCAAACACTCAAAACTCAACAAAACTCAAGATGGGTTTAGTGCACACAGAGATTAAAAAAAAAAGTACCCCATGTGTGCAATGAAATATACTGCTGGATCTTTAATGTTGTGGGCCTATTTTTCTGCCAGAGATCCTGGATATACTGTTCAGATAGATGGCATAATGGATTCTATAAAATACCAATGGATAAAAAATTTAAAACTGACTGTCCATGCTAGAAATCTTATAATGGGCCATGGTTGGATCTTCCAACAGGACAGTCATCCACAAACAAACATCAAAATCAAAACAAAAATGGGTCACTAAGAACAAAACCAGGCTTCTGCCCTGGCCAACCCAGTTCCCTGAGCTGAACCCTATAAAAAATGAGTGTGGTGAACTGAAGAGTAGAAGCATCAACATGCAGCTGGAAATCTGAAGTGACTGGAGAGATTCTGTATGAAAGAATGGTCTCTGATCTCCTGTCAGATGTTCTCTAAACTCTTCAGGCATTAAAGGTGAAGACTCTGAGCTGTTCTCTTGGCAAAAGGAGGTTGCGAAAAGTATTGGATAAAAGGGTATGATTAATTGTGACCAATGTGTATTAGAGAAAAACATTTATTTCATAATGAGATTTATCTCCCATTTTAAATTCTTATTCTCCAATAAAAGGTTAGATTTTAGTACATTTTTAAAATAAAATATCTAAAGGACTGATGATACGGATTAATTTTCACAGCCTTCTTTGATCATATTTACCAAGGGTATGAATAATTTTGAGTACTGTACACTCTTAAAAATAAAGGTGCTTCACGATGCCATAGAAGAACCTTTTTGTCTAAATGATTCCATAAAGAACCTTTAACATCTGAAGAACCTTTCTGTTTCACAAAAGGTTCTTTGGGGCGAAAGAAGGTTCTTCAGATTATAAAAAGGTAAGAAAGAAATGGTTCTTTAAAGAACCTTTGACTGAATGGTTCTTTGTGGAACCAAAAATGGTTCTTCTATGGCATCGCTTGAAGAACCTTTTGAAGCACCTTTATTTTTAAGAGTGTATATCGGGGCCTTGAGAACATGTGATCCACTTTATATTAAGTGTCTTCAACTGCTATGTACTAACATTTAAATGAATAATTTGATACAGTGCACTTACACAGAAATACATGTTTTTGTACTTGCATTTAAAAAGATATCTGCATGTAAATTAATGTCTTTAGTTACATCTATAATTACACTGTTGACCCTAACCCTAATCCCACCCTTAAACCTAACCATATCACAAAACCGGTCCCTAACCTTAATCATAATCTACCTCAATAGCAGCAAACATGTTTTGTAATACAATATGAACATAAAGAGTACACTGTACCCAACAATTATTTTTTTGATGTACATACATAGTTAAAGACAACTAATATAAAGTGGGACCAGAATATGTTTTGTGCTGCTTACACCTCTCCTGAGATATTATTCTGGCCACTCAAATTGGTTCAGTCAATGATGTTTTATTCAGAGATTTCATATCGATATGCTCTATGACTCAGACGACAAGCTACATTTTTGGCTAAGTTTCAGAAGACACTTTGTTTGAATGAGACATCATGGGTTTGGCAGTGAATACTGCAGGGCCATTAACTAAGCATCAACACACTTTTGAAAAGTTGTTCAAGTGTTCACGGTGTCAAGAAAGTGTGTTCCCCAGCATCCCATAAGGCAAGGAAAATAACTACTTGGATAAATACCCAGCAACAATAAATGGATTAATGCTCTAAATGTACGAATTTGTAAGTCACCCTGACTCACCAGATGAATAATGCAACAATGGCAGAGCGGGGCAGGTCCTTTGGAGAGCCCATTCATTTCATTAAGCCGTTGTCACAGGAACATGACTAGGGCTAAAGACAGAGCTGGAGAATGCTTTAACACTCCATTAGGGCTGAACCATTTTTGTCCCCAAAGACAAGCAAGCAAGATGCTGGGATTGAAAAGAGCAGTTGTGCAGCAGCTCCACATGTGCTCGGGTAAGTCATTGCTCTCAGTGAGACCTTGTTGTGCCATAAATAATGATTTGGAAGCACTACATGGACAAGGCATTAACTCTACTAAATAAGGTCATTCAGACATTGTAAATCATATGAGAACATATACATATAAAATAATTATTGGTACTGCATATCTAGTATTTGTATTTAAAAAACAAATTCAGTATCAATATTTACATGTATGAGTGTGTCATAATGGCACATGACTAACAGGTTTGTATAGTGACAAAAACAGGTTCTAGTCTCCTACAGCAAGAACACTACAAGTTCTATCCTTATTGGTCTACCACCATTATCTTTATGACCCTCCAGCGCATTCATTATGCTGCGACTCAAGCGGTTTCTAACTTTTAGTAATTTTCATTTTAACCTATTCGAAATTCGAGCTTTAATACAATACATTCATTATCTTTTTTACGCACACTATATATAAAAAAAAAAAAAACACCATCTGTCAATAACATGAATTTGACTATAAATGAGTCTAGATCCTCCAGCTGAAAAAATCCCTTTATCATAGTTATTCTTATTTTCATTAAAGGTGACATATCATGAAAATCTGACTTTTCCAGGTTTTAAGTGCTATAATCAGGTCCCAAGGGCATCTACCAACCAAGGAACCGTGAAAAAGATTAACCCAGTAACAAGCGTCTGAGAAAACGAGAGCGTCTGATTTCGCTCCCTTGGTGACGTGGCAAAGGGATCTCATTATAATATTACCACCCCTTAATCTGTAAGTTTCCACCCACGGCGACGTTATTGTGTTTTCGTAGGCGACAACGGTGTACCAGTTCTAATGCCATGGCGAAAGTTTGAGCAAAACTTCCTAACTGTTCTGTCTTTGGCTCCACAGACAAGCACAGAACACTGTCCCAGCCTCAGAGGAGACAAGAGAGCAGTGGATTTATGGAGTTATTTACTGTATATTGCTGCTGCCACACAGATCTAAAATAAACGTGCAATTTATTTCCTAGCCGTTTACCTTCACAGACATAACCGACTGTTTTTTTGTAACTCATGAGTGTTTTTAACGTAAACTTGTGTGTGAATGAGAACTTAGTTTAGTACTCACATGCTGTGACAGCCGCTTTCTGTCCGTGTGCTTCGGATGTGTGCGCTCAGAAAACCGTATATCAGAAGTTTAAACTCATATGGTTTAAAACGCATGATTTCAGCACGATAAACATGATAATCAGAACCAAAACCGATGTTTTTAGCAGGTACGAGCTGTAATGGCACAGCTCTATTCTGGAAAAGGGGGCAGGGAGCAGCAGCTCATTTGCATTTACAGTGCCTTGCAAAAGTAATAATTTTTTCATTCATTTTTTTCACATTTTGTTATGTTGCTGCCTTATGTTAGACTGCTTTAAATTACATTTTTTCCACATCGATCTACACTCCATACACCATAATGGTAAAGCAAAAAACTTTTTTGCAAATTTATTAAAAATAAAAAACTTAAATGATTCCATTGCATAAGTACTCATACCCTTATCTGGGACAGTTGAAATTTAGCTCGGGAGCATTCATATTGCTTGTAGATATTACTACACTTCGAGTGAAGTTAACCTGTGGCAAATTCAATTGAATGGGTATGATTTGGAAAGGCACACACGTCTTAATAAAAGGTCTAACAGCTGATAATGCATATCAGAGCAAAACCAAAGCCCTGATGTCAAAAGAACTGCCTGTAGAGCTCAGAAACAGGTTTGCAGCAAAGACACTTCATTGAAGGGTCACAGAAGCATGTAGAGCTATTAACCTTAATGGAAGAAGTTTGAAACAACCAGGACTCTTCCTAGAGCTGGCCTCCTGGCCAAACTGAGCAATTGATGGAGAAGACCTCAATTCCAAGCATTATGTTTGAAGGAAACCAGCTCTGCTCATCACCTGCAAAGTACCATCCCAAAAGTAAAGTGTGCTGGCAGCAGCCTCATGCTGTGGGGCTGTATTTCAGTGGCAGGAACTGAGGGACTCATCAGAGTAGAAGAAAAGTTAAATGCACCAAAATATTGAGATAGCCTTAATAAAAACCTAGTCCAGAGCATTCAGAAACTCAGACTGGGCAGAAGGTTCACCTTCCAACAGGACAATGAACCTAAACACAGCAAGAGTGGCTTATAGACAACTCTGTGAATGTCCTTGAGTGGCCCAGCCACAGCCTGGGATCGAACCCAGTCGAATATTTCTGGAGAAATCTGAAAATGCCCCCATCCAACCTGACAGAGCTTGAGAGGTGAAGATGTGAGGAGAAGAATGGGAGGTAATTGCCAAATGATGACGAGAAAAGCTTGTCGCATCAAACAAAAAAGACTTGAGGCTGTAAAGGTGTTTCAGCTAAATATTTAGTTAAGGGTATGAATACTTTTTTTATTTTTAATAAATTTACGAAGTTGTGACAATTCTGTTTTTGCTTTGTCAGTATGGTGTATGGAGTGTAGATTGATGTGGGAAAAAAGTAATTTAAAGCAGTTTAACATAAGGCAGCAACATAACAAAACATAAAAAAATGAAGGGGTATGAATACTTTCGCAAGGCACTGTAAAGAGACAGGCCAGAAAAACAGCGTGTTTCTGCTTCCTCTCCAAATAGGCATTTTCAAAATGATATAATAAATTATCTGTGGAGTATTTTGAGCTGAAACTTCACAGACACATTCTGGGGACACCAGAGTTACATATTATAAAAAGGGGCATAATATGTCTCCTTTAATTATCATTCATTAGATCATTGTATAAATCTGATGGAATTGCTCATCATCCTGTAGACTGAAAAACCACTAACAAAGCATCTGAGATCTGGAGAGAACTGTCAGGAAAATTTTCCTAATGAGACACAAATATAAAGTGGAGAGAGGAAACTACTGTGAGAGTATCAAGCAGCTCTGCGTTGTACCTTAATTGTGAAATTTGTGTCCAAACCTAAAGTCTTCTATGATGATGCTGATGGTGATAATAATAATAATAATGATAACGAATATATATATATTACATAATAAAGCATCTTGGAGACATTGCCACAGTTCTTCTGGATTGAGTCTGTCTCAGTTTGTTCTTTTCTTCATGTCATTCCAGACAGACTGGATGATGATGAGATCAGATCTCTGGCTGTTGTCAGACTCCTTGTGCAAACAAAAATCTCACTGGATTATTACAATTAATGGCAAAGTAAATGTTTGGAAATGTAAACTGATATTTCCTACTGACACAATACAGCAAAAGATAGAAATAACTGACTTAAAACAATTTTTAGCTGGTGAAAATACTAGTGTTCTAATAATTTTGGCCACCACTGTAAATTGTATATAAATTGTTTTATATTTTTATATAAAATACAGTACATTCATATTTAATATACATTGAAAAATAATAATAGTAATACTAATAATAATAATAATAATAATAATAATAATAAGACTTATTATTATTACTTTTTGGATAATAAATTGAAAAGCAGTGTGAATCAGAGTAGCATAAACTGTGGCCTAATACATTGCACAGTGGAGTGTAAGCATATGCAGACAAACTAAGTTCATATTTCGCTGAGACCTTAGCATTTGCATCTAGTAACAAAGTTCATTTAAATGTACACAACAGCACTACAACAAATCCATTCAAATAAATTATTTTTGGTTCAAAAGGCTTAATTTATTGTGAATGTAACTACGTTCACTGAACAGTTGTGTTACGGATAGTAGCATTAAAGTAAAAAAAATAAAGCTTGCACATGCATTCCTGAAATGGATTATTTATCTTGTTCATACTGGCTTGACCTCACACCGACCCATGAGACAGTGAGACAGCAGTAATGTTTTGTCATATTGGGTTTCGTGCACAACGAAAGCACTTCAATTCTCCATATCTAATATCTGATGCTTTCAGAGAGGCCGGGGTCCTCATATGTGCATAGTTTCACAGTCCCAATTTCCTCAAGGAAGCCAATAAATGCTGATCACACTTTCTGATCATAAACATCAGAGGAGAGCGAGCTCACTGTGTCACAGGGGTCCATTTGATTTAATGATGCATCGCCATGGTAAATAAGTGACTCTGCTTTTGGGAAATCTAATAGAAAACTATTACTGCTTGAACACAGCTCAACTGAGATGAAGGTCTGCGAGACCAATGTAAATAAATTAACCTTATCAGAGGAACTCATCTCATACGTGATAGAGGAACAGAGGAATGAATGCAGATCAATATTAGGTGTATTCTCGCTGTTGGAGATAGTCGCAACAACAAATGACGTGCACTATCTGAGCGTCTCGGTGCACAGCTGGCGAATGGTAATGAACGACAGAAAGGTTGAGAGGATCTGTGGTGGTTATCTTTATAAACCATATGGATATCGACCAGATGAAATCTTCCTTTATTGTGGTGCATTTTTTTAATAAATAGCTTCACTAGGCACAGAAAACCCGTTCAACTTCGAACCCTCTAAAGGGCTGCTACAAGTTATCATATCTTGTGTAATATATTTTATTACCAATATAGAAGGTTATTACTTTTTCCTTCAGAGACTAGTCATTTAGGGAAAGACATCAGGGGACAGGGGGAGCAGATATTACCCAGTGTGCACCAACTACCAGTTTGAGGTGCACTATCTGAGCGTCTCGGTGCACAGCTGGCGAATGGTAATGAACGACAGAAAGGTTGAGAGGATCTGTGGTGGTTATCTTTATAAACCATATGGATATCGACCAGATGAAATCTTCCTTTATTGTGGTGCATTTTTTTAATAAATAGCTTCACTAGGCACAGAAAACCTGTTCAACTTCGAACCCTCTAAAGGGCTGCTACAAGTTATCATATTTTGTGTAATATATTTTATTACCAATATAGAAGGTTATTACTTTTTCCTTCAGAGACTAGTCATTTAGGGAAAGACATCAGGGGACAGGGGGAGCAGATATTACCCAGTGTGCACCAACTACCAGTGACAAAAGCATACAGATGTTCTTTGAAAAATAGAAAGTGAAAAGAATAGCATTTACCAGAAAAGTAAATCATTATAAATACCTTTTCTGTCACTTTTGATCAATTTAATGCATTCTTGCGAAATGAAAGTATTACATTATTTAAAAAATAAAAGTACTGACCTTTGAATGGTAGTGTGTAGTCGCCATTTTAAGGAACACATGAAAGACCCAATTTGGATAACTATAAGTTTTAAATGGATCCAGATATATAGAGGCTAGAAGTTTCATTTTGACAATATATTTTTCTTTCTTCTAAAACCAAACTACCTGTGCAATCGCATGTATATCGCTCCTTCTGTTTGATTGCAGGCAATAAAGACTGCAAACATCCTTCATGATAAGACTAATGTTCACCAGTGGAGGTTCAACATAAATGTTTTTCCCATGATAGATAACATCGGTCTGCACATTACTCCAGCAATGTCATTTTATGTCCGTCGTCTAGGCATCTGGCAACGTAACACATTGCCACTTAAGAGCTGATTCAATTTTATGGACCATAAGATGCAAACCTATCCCAGTGCATAACTGAATAATTGATTTCCATATCAAGGAGCATTGGATCTTTTTTAGAAACATTTGTTTTTGTGGATTTCCATTTCACAAAGGAGCATTCAAGCAGAAGCCAAACCAGTCAAAATGTTTCCTCACCTGTATTTTGATTGGCCATGAGAAGTTGCTGACGTATACATAGAAGGTGATGTTGGGATTGCTGTGAAAACTGAATTTCTCACAAGAGAAACTGTCTCTGTACTCTTTGATGTTGGTCTTGGACACGATGGGAATCTCTTCCCCAGAGATGGTCCCAGCTGTAAAGATTAAAGAATGTGATGGATTAATTCAGATATAAAGGAGACATTCAGAAATGGCATTTGATACACCTCATAACTTCTCTTAAAGCATTGACAATAAAGGGTCACAGATTGACCTCTGCATGTTGGCGGTTCTGCATACATATACATATACTTATTCAAAACCCTGAGCAAAAACATTATATCTTTGCCTATATTTATTGTGGGGTCTGAAAAAAATTATGCATGCTTAAAATGTAGTGTGACCGCCACTTAATGCTTTCTGAGCTATTAAATAAGGGCGACTGAGAGCAATGCAAATCCAGTGAATTGCAGCAGTAATCAACAAGGCTGACTGCATACACCGGTTTAGTTGTTTGTTGATGTTTTTATTCATGGAGAAAATTAGTTTTTAAAACAACCTCAGTCTGACAATTTCATTATCTATTTTAAACATGAGAAACATGGTATAAAACCATAATTTAACAAAAAAAAATGACTTGGAGGAGCTGAAAAGAAAAGCAGCCTTTGTCCTATTTTATCAAGACTTTTTAAACTTTCTGAAGTTCTCTAGTGAAACACTTAAGTCCCACCAATCATCATTCCAAACCAGCACTATGAAACAAAGCCCACAAAATGACAACCCAAATGCCACTACGTGGCAATGTTTATCTTAATTGAAATCGTTCAAGTGCTCCTGAAGACGCTGCAGCCCCAGAATTCACAGCTGCACACTAGACTATTGTTAGAAGCCCTTCTCAGGGGAGAGTGTCTTTAAACAGAAAGACACCACTCCAAATATTAATTGAGGGGAGCTGGGAGGTCGAGAAGGAGAGGAGTGAACCTGTTAAAGAGGAGCGTGAATGTCAAAGTCACATTAAAAAAAATTGGCTGGTGACTATTTGGACGAAAAGGTGATTACAGAAATAAACAATAGAGGATAATGGTGACGTCCTTGAGTGTCTGTCTATTGTAAAATACCCAACACACCCAGGAACACACTGCGGTCAAACAAGCAATGCATTAGCATCTCTGTGTCAGACCCATTATGATATTATGCTAACATGAGAATGCATGCGACGGTCAACTAGGCACACCTAACTGATTAGTAAGGCTGACTTGTTTACACCAGCATTCAAAACTTTAGGGTTAGTAAGATTTTTTTTTTGATAAAGAAAATCAGGTAAAAATAGTAATACTGTCAGATATCATTACAATTTTAACAGTTTTATTTTGTTACATTAAAATGCTTTTTCTCCTGTGATGGTCAACCTAAATTTTTAGCAGCATCTATTTTTTTCTGGATTCTCTGATGAATATTAAGTTCAAGAGAACAGCAATTATTTGAAATAGAATTTGTTCGGAATGATAAAAATGCCTTTACTGTTATTTGATCAATTGAATGCATTCTTGCAGAATAAAAGTATTAGAACACTTAAAAAATAAATAATTATAATTTTTAACAGTGGTGCTTTAAATATGCTGACAGCTATTAGAATGTAAAACCTCTTAAAAGTTGCATATTGAAATGTGTCTCCTGTTTTTTGAGTGTGTGGCAACCAGCTGTTGAATGTATGAATGCAAAAAAAGAAGAAGATTTGCTCAGCAAACATATTAGTTTACTACTACTGTACAAAAGCAATAACTTTTATACAACAAAACAAGGGTAAATATTCAACAGAGAAAAATAGTCAGTACCTGTTGATCCAACTGACCAAGTGATGTTCAGATTGAAATTGTTTGATGCATTGATGGACATGTCCAAGTTCTTGCTGGTCTATAAAGTGGAGAGAGAAAAGAAAGTTTCAGTATGGCTTTTATATGGTTTTTGAAAGAAAATAATGACAACATTTTTATTTTTAGAATGAACTATGCCCTTTATGAAATGTATATAATCTAACTGACAATCAGAAGACTTCTCTATGATAATCACAATCTGGTCAAACCATTCAGTTGCTTCTGTTCTCAGATAAGTAGACTGCGACTGACCTGTTCAGGAGTGGCCATGAAGTTAATGGCAGTGTAGTGCTGGTCATCTTCTTGAAGCAGACTGAAGGTGAACTGGTAATCAATCAGCAAGTTATCTGTTCAGATCAAAACCCTATTGTTAATCACCACATTTTACATCATCATGAACCACACCATGCAATTCTCTGGCATGTTAACGGTTGAAAGTTTCCATTTAAAGAGCATCATGAAAGAGCGGCGCACATTCACTTTTACAATAAGAGGGCTACTTTGAAGAGCTACATGAATCATCAGTCACTTTAATTGCACTAAATTAATACCTCCTTTCTAAGTGTGTCATTGCTTTAATAAGCATGCACTCGGATTAAGCTCAATTGTTTTTAAGACGTCTACAAGTATTTGAAATCTACGCTTCTTAGTTACATAAAAGAACGTGTTATCCTTTACCAGAACTAGGCCTAAAGGTTTAAAAGTTGAAGACTAAACAATAAATTCGCAAATTTTCGACCAGGAAGATTCTAAGGTACAGTAAGTTTTTTCTTCCTCAAGGTCTCTTAAAGCATTGTTTCAAAGACAAAGAAATGTCTGGATTGTTTTCTTAACTCCTGGGCTGTTAAATGACTGAATGCTGCCACAGGCATATCTCAGAGAACAGCTGTTAGTGTGAATCACAATATGGCATTGTAAACATCTCTTTCACTCCCCATCAACTCGAAATATGTCTTTTATGTCTTAAGGTTTTAATCAATTCAGATGTGACATGGAAGCAACATAGTTTCACACATTTCCTGTATTTTTGCTTGAAAGATCATGTAACTTTCAGACACCGAGTAGTGCTGATCTGCAAATCAACTACTATGAGCATCAGTCCTTCTTTCCATTAAATCAGCCTTCTAGAAGGAACGCTGTCACTTCTTAAAATTTGTTTCAGATGCAACTATCTATAGGTGACAAAACCGTCCCCCAGCTTGCTCTTGAAGCATTAAGGTGATATATGCTGGATTTTTTCAATGAAACAGAATGGTGATTCTAAAGTGAATGTCAGTGAGTTTCATAAGTCAGACAGCTGTTCTGAGAGGAATGTCAGCCACAAAGTTCTAAGTTATTCAATGGGAATATAAAAAACTTGGAACATAACATTTAAGTCCAAGACAGAAGCTTGTCATCCTGCATGCTTCAAAAAGTTTTATGTTCTCAACTTTTATGTAAGACCATACACAACTAATCATAAACCACGTGCACCAATTACGTGATCATTATTCTGTCTGATTGTTGCTACAATCTGGAATTTATTCTCTCAAACACACTTCTACAGGGATAGTCTGAGCAAAAATGAAACTTCTGTCATCATTTACGTACTTACCCTCATGTTGTTCCAAACCTGTATAACTGACTTTCTTCTGTAGAAATTAAACAATTAAAAGATCATTTGAAGAATGTTGGTAACCACAAACAGTTTTGGTTACCACTGATTATCTTCTCAAAATATCCTTTTCTATTCAACAGAAAAAAAGTAAGGGTAGCTAAATGATGACAGAAGTTAAATTTTTTGGTGAAAGAAGTTTCTTATCCTTACCAAAGCTGCATTTATTTGATTAAAAATACAGTAAAAACAAAAATACTGTAACAATTAAAATGTAAATGTAATGCAAAATGTTATATATATATATAACTCATTAAACATATATGATATAATGCTCATTAAACATTTCTTATAATTTATTATATCTATATTTATTATATATTTTTCAGGGTTCTTTTACAAATATTAAGAATATTTTTACATCATTTTTGATCAATTGAATGCATCCTTGCTGAATAATACTAATTTCTTTTTTTTTTTTTTATATAACTCATTAAACATATATGATATAATGCTCATTAAACATTTCTTATAATTTATTATATCTATATTTATTATATATTTTTCAGGGTTCTTTTACAAATATTAAGAATATTTTTACATCATTTTTGATCAATTGAATGCATCCTTGCTGAATAATACTAATTTCTTTTTTTTTTTTATATATGTCCTCAAACCATTGAATGGTAGTGTATATAGACTTTTTTTAAATGTTTTATTTCTCCTAAAACTAAGTTTAGGGTCTCTTAAAAGTTGTGTTTTGAAATGTCTATAAATGGTCACAAACAACATGCAAAAATGGCTTGTGGTCGCTTCTGACAGCAAGAATGAGTAACTTTTTTCTTGTGCATTGAATTAAGTGTCCTAGAGTAGATACATTAATCTAAATCTACTAAGCTAGAACACTGTAATGCCAAAATGGAAACATTCAATTCAGATGTGACATGGAAGCAACATAGTTTCACACATTTCCTGTATTTTTGCTTGAAAGATCATGTAACTTTCAGACACCGAGTAGTGCTGATCTGCAAATCAACTACTATGAGCATCAGTCCTTCTTTCCATTAAATCAGCCTTCTAGAAGGAACGCTGTCACTTCTTAAAATTTGTTTCAGATGCAACTATCTATAGGTGACAAAACCGTCCCCCAGCTTGCTCTTGAAGCATTAAGGTGATATATGCTGGATTTTTTCAATGAAACAGAATGGTGATTCTAAAGTGAATGTCAGTGAGTTTCATAAGTCAGACAGCTGTTCTGAGAGGAATGTCAGCCACAAAGTTCTAAGTTATTCAATGGGAATATAAAAAACTTGGAACATAACATTTAAGTCCAAGACAGAAGCTTGTCATCCTGCATGCTTCAAAAAGTTTTATGTTCTCAACTTTTATGTAAGACCATACACAACTAATCATAAACCACGTGCACCAATTACGTGATCATTATTCTGTCTGATTGTTGCTACAATCTGGAATTTATTCTCTCAAACACACTTCTACAGGGATAGTCTGAGCAAAAATGAAACTTCTGTCATCATTTACGTACTTACCCTCATGTTGTTCCAAACCTGTATAACTGACTTTCTTCTGTAGAAATTAAACAATTAAAAGATCATTTGAAGAATGTTGGTAACCACAAACAGTTTTGGTTACCACTGATTATCTTCTCAAAATATCCTTTTCTATTCAACAGAAAAAAAGTAAGGGGAGCTAAATGATGACAGAAGTTAAATTTTTTGGTGAAAGAAGTTTCTTATCCTTACCAAAGCTGCATTTATTTGATTAAAAATACAGTAAAAACAAAAATACTGTAACAATTAAAATGTAAATGTAATGCAAAATGTTATATATATATATAACTCATTAAACATATATGATATAATGCTCATTAAACATTTCTTATAATTTATTATATCTATATTTATTATATATTTTTCAGGGTTCTTTTACAAATATTAAGAATATTTTTACATCATTTTTGATCAATTGAATGCATCCTTGCTGAATAATACTAATTTCTTTTTTTTTTTTATATATGTCCTCAAACCATTGAATGGTAGTGTATATAGACTTTTTTTAAATGTTTTATTTCTCCTAAAACTAAGTTTAGGGTCTCTTAAAAGTTGTGTTTTGAAATGTCTATAAATGGTCACAAACAACATGCAAAAATGGCTTGTGGTCGCTTCTGACAGCAAGAATGAGTAATTTTTTTTTTTTCTTTTCACTAATCTGAATGAAAGATCTGTGGCTACTTGTTACATTGCGACATCCAGAGAAGAAGAAAAAAACCTACTGCCACTTTCATAGATTAAACCCATGATATTGAAGTAAAGTAGCCAGTACTTAGCGTTTGTACCATATCTGCATACTGCTACTACATTTATCCAATATAACAATTTTTTTACATTTCTTTTTAACCTCTAAATAGAAAAATGGTAGAAAAAGCCATTTACGTATTTGTTGTATTGTGTTTTGAAATGTCTATAAATGGTCACAAACAACATGCAAAAATGGCTTGTGGTCGCTTCTGACAGCAAGAATGAGTAACTTTTTTCTTGTGCATTGAATTAAGTGTCCTAGAGTAGATACATTAATCTAAATCTACTAAGCTAGAACACTGTAATGCCAAAATGGAAACATTACATTTCCATTTCAACATTAAAACACAACAGAAACCATAGCAATGAACTCCATTCAGGTCATTAAAGACGCTGCCCACTGCGAATATATGGAGGGCTGGTCAGCAGGCAGAGTGCGAGTGTAAACCAATCTGAGAAAATTAAACATGAACAATAGGTCTTACTGGGACAGAAGTCCATTTTTACAGGATCAATCTCCTTTGATGGTGAGTCAAGTAACACTGACAGAACACACTGAGCGTGCTTGTGCTAGTGCTGCTTCCGGAAATGCACAAGTCAAACCTTGCTTGTGTGAGAAAGCTCACACTTCCTACTGGATCCACGTCCACCAAACTTCTGCTCTTGTGTCTTTAATTAGTTTGAATCATTCGCTTACTCACTCTGACTGGGCTTGACACTCTCACCAGTCTTATATCGTCGCCTACGACCCACTCTCCAACAACACTTCCCCCTACAGGACACCATTTGAGAAAACACGGGCGGGTGATACACTTTTCTTCTAAATAGCAATTGAGCCAGAAGCCTGCAAGCACATGCGCTTCACCTAACAGACGTTGAGGGAGAGGAGTGTATGGAAATTGATTGATAAATTGAAGGCTTTATTTAATCCTGATTGATGACAATGGGGATAATGCTGGCGGGATTTGCAAACGGAGTGAAATTTGATGTCCTAAATGCTACTGACTGCATTTAGCCTTTTCAGACTCCATGATGACTGCTGATAGTAATTGCAAAAAAAGTGAAAGAGGAACACAGATGTCTACTCAGAGAATACGCAGTTTCTGATATACAACAAGACTGCCCCCTAGTGCTGTGCATTTGAGCCCTGCACACACAATCAGACTTCAACATGGTTTGCTGCAGATCTTCTGAGATGCTCAAGAGATCTATCTGAACTTTTTGATTTCTGCCAAATCAGAATGTCTCATCCACCGCTTTTATCTTGTTGTGTGGTTGTGCATCATCCCATGGCAATTTCGTCCAGGTTTCCCAGCATCTTAAGCCCCCTGAGTCTAATTTCATTAAATGGCAGACAGCCTCTGAGTTTGAAAGTGTCTGCAGAGTCAGATGAATTTTCAAGGTACAACAGGATTACGTTAAGGTCAGAGCTCAAATAGAGAATACTCACAGTAACAGGTTCCTCGGAGAGGGTTGCCAAGGTAACGGTTTTCTGAATCACAACTGCAAAGAGGGGAAGAAAAAAAACAATTTAGATGAAGTACATGAAGTAATGAGACAATGCAATATCTGATGCATGAATCTAAACATGCAAATGTCGTAATTATTAAACACTAAAAATAAATAAATGGACTGTGAAACAAGAAAACAAAAAGGTTGTTGTCAATTTTCAAAAAAAAAGAAAGAAATAAAATAAGGATCGAGAGTTTTGCTGTCTAGATTTTTTTGTTCTTTTTTTAGGGTTTAATATTTTTAGCAGGGGTATTTTTTAGTAGTTTTTATCTGTGCATCTGTGTTTTTTATGGCATGTCTATGTACACATGCATATGAACATCCGTTTTTTTCCCTAAAAACCAACTAGACAACCAATCACACAGCTTATTTTGTAAATATGTTCTTATATGCTGAATAACTTTGTTAAACATTGAATCTATTAAATATTGCAAAAAATGTACACTATTTATACTTACAGATCTTATTGTGAACAATTCATCCATGCATGTTTCATTATTTAAGACAATTTCTGACCTTAATCAAAATGTCATAACCAGACATCTCTCCGGTGACATATGCAGGACTTCTCCGAGCCTCATATTCACATGCAAAGTCCACATCTCAAAAAACAAATCAACAACCGATGCATATCCAAGTCCCTGCCCTATATTATTTTCTTTTCACTAATCTGAATGAAAGATCTGTGGCTACTTGTCCAATGAACCAATCAGAATTGAGAGATAACTTTTCAGGAGATGTCAGTTTTAGGCTTACAATCAGGATTAGGTGATTCTACACCCTTGTTAATCAGATATCATTTCCCTCTGATTTTAGGAATAAATTATGGGTAAGGTTAGGTTTAGGGGTGGGGATTGGGTTAAATCTGTATTTTTGGACAGTAATGTTGATCCAGGATCGACAAAAGATGTCTTACTTGGCAAAATCACGGCAACCTTTTGGTAAGAGTTTTGTGATTTAAGTGCTTTGGTAAATCATAATTATGATTAAAAAGTTTAAATTAAGCACATTATAAGTTATAATTACCACATAAAAAGCCATAATTATGATAAAATGTAAATTAAGTCAAAATGTTTTAATGAATTTTTATCCTACAATTATGACTTAGCGTTTCAACTTTTTATTTCATAATTATAATGTCACATTTTTTGCCAGTATTTTTTATTTTATCATAACTTTTTATCTTATAATTTCAACTTATGTCAGTTATGTTTTTGTCTCTGGCAGATGTTTTTATATTAATTCCATTTTTATCGCATAATTAGTATGACTTAGTATGTCATAATTTTGACTTGTGTCATAATTATGACATTTTATATTATAATTTTATTTTTTTAATTTATTTTATCAAAGCATCTTTTATCTTTTTTGGCTGAAATGGGCTTTCATATTTATGATCTGCTTACTTAGCTGTTAATTTATTTGGGAGCTATTTTGATTTATGAATCAAATTGAATTGGGAAATCTGGATCGACATCCAGCCATGTGACAGTAAAATAATGGGGGACAAAAATACATATTTACCTTTTAAGTACACCTACTAAACTGCACCATTCTCACAGTTAAATATACACAAACCTCCATCTCATACTCTGAATCTCTTTGCCCTTAGCTTGCAGGGACCCACCTTTATCATAAGGAGCTGAAGCATTCATTTTTTTTTTCTGAGAGTTAGTGATAAATATGAGAGGACAAGGTAGAGTACACTTTTACCACGGTACAGAGGACACAGGACAAACTGCACCACAGGCATTTTAAAACCTCTGCATATCAGTCCCCTAGCCTTTAATCTGGATGACATTTCAGAAATGAATATTCTCTTTCACCCATACAGTGCAAATCAGAAGGAGAGGTTTCCAACGTTCATGCCCACATACACACAACGTACTCCGTGAGGGCGGTGAAACATAATGCACTCTTACTCTCAGTATCTTAATTTAATCTCCAGTGAGGGCGCACCTACACGCTGTGCATGCTTTAATGCACTCTCTCTCTATAGTGCCATAATTTGATCCCCATTTGGGTCACACCTGGAGTGCCGCAAAACACACAACACACTCCATGACACTCCACCATGATGATGATGGACTCTACAGTAATCAAGCATGCTTTTGCTTCAAATTGTATCAATTTTCTTTCTTTAATCAAGTGTATCTTTCCAAATATCTCTCGTTGAGCTGTCGTCTGATAGCAAAGGAGAATGACGTGATGCTCTGAAGTCCCGACCAGGACTGTGAAAGGAATTTCAGGACTTTGAATTGCTCTTTCACAATGTCAGCGCACTAAAAGAGGGTCAGCGAGCGATCACTGCAGCACATCAGGTCTTTAATCAACCCTTTTGAGTGTGATAGTATTTGTGCGTGACAAAAACGGTCCTGGTTCTTCATTATGGACCTTGTTATGTAGGATAGGTAATGGCATCTGTCCGCTCTGAGTAATGAAGGAGGGAGAGAACAGAGTGAGAAGGAGAGTAATAAACAGGAAGTGGTAATGGCCGTCTCGACTGCAGCCTGTGCACTCATTTGTCCTTGTGATGAAGACACGCTTGAATACATCATCATTGGACCTGGCTTGGCCTGATTGGGTTACACACAATTAAAAACAAGCATCTACCGGTATGCACACACACAAACAAAATGAAATGACAAAAAAGTGTGTGTATTAGAGAGAGAAGCTTCTCTCAACATCTTAGATACCATACACAGCAGAATGCTGGGTTAAAATAAGATTTCTCACTATAGAATTTGAAAAGCAAAGTACATTTGATCATTAATCACTTCAGTTGTTTGTTGCTCATAAGAGTCATTTGTTCATAAATCAAGCAACACGGCTGTGTGAGTTTCATTCACTAAAAAGAACCAAATCATAAGAGTCACTTGTTCAGGAATCAAAACTACACATCACACTCGATGTTTTTGATTTACAAAAAAAGAACCAACTCATGAGAGCTGCTTGTTCAGTAATTGGACTACACTGGTCAAACACTAGGTTTTTGATTTACTAAAAAGAGCCAATTCTTGTTCAGAACTGACAAATGTACACTGGTCACTTTCTATGTTTTTGATTTACTAAAAGAACCAACTCATAAGAGTCGCTTGTTCAGAAATTGGACTACACTGGTCAAACTATTTTGATTCACTAAAGAGAACTACTCGCTCGTAAGAGTCAACTGCTGAGAAATCAAAATACACCAGTGATACTGCATGTTTCTGATTCACTAATAAGACTGAACTCATTAAAGTAACCTACCCTTTTCTGTAATTGGAATATACTTGTCACACTATGCTTTTGAATCACTAAAAAGAACCAGTTCACAAGAGTCAATCATTTGGGAATTGAACTATACTGGACATATTACATATGTTTTTGCATAGTAGATTTAATTGTGATGTTGTAGTTTACAATATACTGCCAGAGTATTTTTGTACTGAAGAAACACTGTGCAAGAAACATTAATGTAAATAAAACAGAACTGAATGTCATTCAGTTACAGTATTAGCAATGGAACCAGTAAAGCAAAGGAAAAAAATTAAGTTTACAATGCCTTCCATGATGACTTCTCCTCCTGAGTCATTACCTTACTACAGTGTACAGCTGTAGCTATGTTTATGATGAAAATGTGCTGTGGTGCCAAAAAATACCGTGTGAAAAGAGACCTGCAGGGACAAAGTACACAGCTTCCTGTTTCCTGCCATAAAACACTGTTAAAACATCAAGCAAGATCTTCCACGAGCTGCACACCTCTTCATAACCCAGAGTTACGCGTCAGTCTATAACAAAGCATCTGCTCTTAAAAGAGCACAACAAAGGCGCCACCATCCTCTGCTGTAGCTCTGAATGCAACACAGCAGCCCGGATTTTAAGCTGCTCACAAGCTTCTGTTTCTATGACTGTGTGGGAAATTCAGTTCACACCCACGTCTCCTAAATGAGCATGACTGGTCAACCCACTCTTTAGAATTTCTGCATGCACATATAACAATGCAGTGAGTGAAACACTCGAGTTTTATTATTGTCAAAGAGAATTGGTCTCTCTAATAGTCACAAACACACGCCAGCACACTCCCACACATCACTTCCACCTCCATTAGTGCTATTAAAGTGTGTGCACACATGCAGACAAAATATGCTGCGTCTGCAGGTCAGCTTTAGCCAAAATTGTGAAGACAGAGTCAAGCTAAATGGAATGCAGGGGACTTAATGATTAAAGGGGTGTGGAATTATTAACTATACTTGGGAAAGATCCAGGGACAACCTCAATTGGATTTAAGAAAAAATAAAAAATAATAATTAATTAATTATTGAACAAGTATAGTAATGTATTACTTAAACAAGCATTTATTATATATATTTAAAAAAAATAAAAGTCTTGGCATGTATTTAATATTTCATGTATATAAGTAAATGATTGCATGCAGCATAGGTACTCACAGCTGGCATTGGTCGCCTTTGATACCCTTGGTGGTGCAAAAGCATTTGCCCGTCAGCACCTGGCACACGTTGGCATGACCATTACATTTACAGGCTGAAAAAGAAAAATACAAAAATGGGAGGATGAGGAATATATAGAGAGACATAAAAATTAACAGAAGGGGGAAGGAAAAAGAGAAAAACATTGTGTGAAAACAAACACAGAGAAGTACGAGACTCATCCTACAAATACAGCTTAGCAGCTTAAACATTATTTAATTATGAAATTAATTTATGAAAACATCTGTGACACCATCTAATATTGAAGATAACAAATAAAAACAAATACAAATGACAGCTGACAAAAAAAGTGAGATCAGCTCATAGGTGGTCCCTCTGTTCTCAGATTTGTTCACAGACAAGTGAGTTTGGCTGCATTACATTAGAACATCGTGTTACTGTCCTTAGGCAACATCAATGATGATCTTAACCACAGAGGTCAATGAACAAACAAAATGGTAAATTCTCATCATTCTATGTGCATTTGAAAAATGTAGAAACTGTAGAAACTAAAATATATGCATTTAGCACTATAAATTACAAAAATTAGTTTAAAATAGAATGTGTAGATATTTAACAGATTTACACATTTCAATTTTATAAATTTACTTACAAATATATTTTGTAAATATTATATAAATAAAAATGTTGTCTTTGTATTTTATAATATAGACTACCGTTCAATAGTTTGGGGTCAGTAATAACTTTTAATGGTTTTGAAAAAAGTCTTCTTTTGAAAGAAGACATTTTAGGGTGCTTCCACACCTGTAGATAGATTGCTTTGTTCCGAAACAGGGATTAAAATTATTACAATGTTGCTTTTTAATCTTGGTGCGGTTCGCTTTCACACGGCAACGTTTCTAAACAGACCAAATTTGTTCATACAAGTCACACGCGAGTAAACTGTTGTCTCATTGGTCAAAGTTCCATGGTTTATTTTCCGGGATTCCACTTAACTGTCACGGCTGTCATCCATCAGGATGGAACGACAACAGCTTTTTTTTTTTGTAGCGGTCCTTATATTAATTTATAATTTTGAGCAGGAGTCCAGGATTCATCGGGAAAACATTTTTAAAATGCACCTACTAGGAAGAAGCAATCTTAAGAGCAATAAGACGCCATTATAAAATGAAAAAGTGCGCTTTTTTATTTTGAATGGCGAAGACGTGCTCACCCACAGACATTCACAGGTTCATTTTGAAGTATTAGCAAAACAACAAAGCTAATGCTTTTCACGGAACTTACGTAATTACCCATTATACATTGTGATATAGCCTGGTTCGTTGGTCCGTTAGATCGGATTGCTTTCTCACTACAACCAAACCGCTCCAGAGTTCGTTTTCAATCGAGCCGAGACCACCTCGTTCAGGCGATCTCGCACCGATTATTTTGTCGCTGATCCGGGTGCGATTGCTGTGTTCATATATGCCCAAACGAACCGAGCTAAGGGGGGAAACATGCCAGGTTCCGAAACAATGAGCCAGGTGTGAAAGTACCCTTAAAGACATTTAAATGTTTGATTTTATTTTAATGTCTTTGCTGTCGCTTTTGATCAATTTAATGCATCCTTGCTGCAACTTGTGAATAATACTGTATATACAAAACATATATTGCATTACATGTAAAGTGGTCATATAAAACACAACAAGTTGCTGAAATCTATATTGGCATTACTGCCATTGATGTGGGAGTTATATTAGTGTATTTGTGGAATCTGGATCAAATTTTGGATCAAATTGGTCTTTTTGGAGAGTTTCAATTAACTCTTATTTCAAAGCATGAGGAAAATTTAATTTATGATATGACTCCCTTCAAGATCACCAGTTCTGAAACTCTGCAAAACAGGTACATTTGCTTTCAGAAGATTTTTGCCACTGACAAAAACACTAGCTTTAAGTGCCAGTCTTTTATCTGTACTAAAATCCATTTCCACCTTTTTTGAGCAGTGGACTATAATTATTTCTAAAATAAGCTTTAATTCTACACACGCTCTTCATGCTGCACTAACATTGCTGCAGATCATTGGGCTCTGACAGGTTTTGAAATTTTGGATCAAATTGGTCTTTTTGGAGAGTTTCAATTAACTCTTATTTCAAAGCATGAGGAAAATTTAATTTATGATATGACTCCCTTCAAGATCACCAGTTCTGAAACTCTGCAAAACAGGTACATTTGCGTTCAGAAGATTTTTGCCACTGACAAAAACACTAGCTTTAAGTGCCAGTCTTTTATCTGTACTAAAATCCATTTCCACCTTTTTTGAGCAGTGGACTATAATTATTTCTAAAATAAGCTTTAATTCTACACACGCTCTTCATGCTGCACTAACATTGCTGCAGATCATTGGGCTCTGACAGGTTTTTGTCCGCCGTGCTAAACATACATGACAACATGTATAGGACCAATTCTACGCTGTCTCTAAATTCCAGAATCCTGTAGGTCGTATATAAAAGGTCTATGCTGATGTGTGTATGAACGCCTTTTGTAAGCTGGTCTGCTTTTAAGAAGGAATATGAATATCATATTTCTCAAGAATATGGGAAACACGATAGTGTTTGCAGGGCGCAGTTTCAGAACTGATGTCCCATCAAGCATTAAACTAAAGGAGGCCTTGGGCAAAATTTCACAAAAACATTGAGGAACACAACAAATCCATTTACATTCAAAAATATGTTGTAAATAAAACATAAGACCTCTTAGGACCACACTTTTAGAAAGTTTAAACTAGCACATGTTTTGTGATGGTTAGCTCTTAGTGTTAAAGTCCTGGTGGGGGTGTTGTCTCATATCTGTGAGCATAATGGACTGTTACAGCATATCCTGTTTCTCCTAGAATCATAGGCCAATGCTGTAAACCGACATCTCCAGGGCAAAAGAGAAAAAATGTGAGTGCATGTCTATGTGTGATCTTGCCCCTCACCTCTGGCAGTGCAACCACCTCTTTGACCTCAACATTCATTTCCCAGTGCGCTCTTTTCTCCATTACTAAGCCGAATGGTGTATCAAAATGCCCAGTTAGTAGCAGGTGCAAATATTCTCACCTTGGCACTTTCCACCATTGGTTGGGTCTCCATGGTATCCGGGCAAGCATGTTTCGCAGTGAAGCCCGGTGGTGAGGTTACGACACTGCTCACACACGCTGCCATTCACACACGTGCTGTGGCCATTGCACTGGCATGCTGGGAAATAAAAATAATTTTTACAAATCTTGATGTCAGAGATGACTCAATTGAAAACTAAAGGATATTGAAACTTTTTATGCCAAGAACCCCGAAATATAATGATCCCCTGGTGAGGGATCCCTTTCCAAAAATATGAAAGCAGATACATATTTTCATGTTTAAAACCCATTTATATTGTGTAAAAATGTGAAGAGTGATACTGTAAAGACAACACAATTATTTTTATATATTTTCACCAAGTACTAAAGTAAATTAAATTGTTATTAGGGAAATAACAACATTTTTAAATTACAACAATAAATAAATGCATACATATATAAGGTTTGGGGTAAAATAGCGCAGTCACTTTTGATGAATTTGAATTATTCTTACTGAATAGAAGTATTAATGTTAAAAACCACAGCTGCCAATTAAATTATCACAATTAATCTCACTATTTCGGTCTTAACACAGTAAATGTATCACTTATTTACTGTCACACTAAACATATTTCATTAATATCTTTACATATATACGTTAACAATTATAGCCCTAAAAAAAATACATATGGTCATTTTGTTCTATCATTTTTTTGCAGATCATCTTGCACCCCTTTGTGTCCCAAGGGGTTCCCTGTCCTGCAGTTTGAAAACCCCTGGTGGAACAAATTTGCTCTTTAAAGGTCAAGTGTGCACGTGAAATGTGGGTGGTTCTCACCAGGGCACTGGATGAAGGCCCACTCAAAGCCCCGCTCTTTTGGGCAGAGCCCCGTCTCCAGCACCATGTCTTGGCTGTGTTTAGAGGTGCTCTTCATGGGTCCGCGATACGAACCCTCCATGCACTGTCCTCGGCCGGTGTTACTAGGGTCCCCACACCAGCCGCAGTCAGGCTGCTCCAGACACAGACCACATGTACGCAAACCAGAACAGTTCTGAGCTGCAATGACAGAGAAAAGAGAAAGATGAGAAGCCGAAGAGAAAAAAGCCTGCAGATTCTGAAAAATAAACAATGAGAAGCAACAAAGACACGCTTAAAATTATACTTTCAAGCTCTCACGGGGCATATCACTCCTGAGTAATATGCTCTCAAATACCACCAGAACGTTCACTCTCCCTAAAGAGCACATCAGAGCCATATGCGTCAGCCTCTTTCAGTTTGAACATTTTAGCCGCCTGCTGCACATCCCGTTTTTGCAGGAACGCTCTGAGCACCTGAAGATGAAAAAAACAACAACTCTGAGCAGAAAAGCACCCAACATTGTTCGCGTTTTTTTCCCATTGTCCAGTTGAACGAATAGAGAGGCGGGCCTTCCATTGTGGTGACGAAAGTTTACCGTTGCTCAGAAAGTCTGGAGACTGCAATGATGGAGGAGAAACTTGTGGTGTCTGTCGCGGGTTACCCAGAGCTGTATTTTTTAAGGTTTTTGCTAATATGACAGTTTAACATAACGGCAAAAAACAAATATTTTAGAGCACTCATGCTATAATCCTTTGATTAGACTGACAGGACAGCTGATCTGGTGATTGCCTAGCAACACAAAAATCTGCAGCGCAACGCTCTTTTTTTTTTGTAAGTCACCAAAAAAAAGGTAGTGCGGTGCACCTCGTGACCTAAAAAACGCGTTTGGTCTGATCGGGCCTTATTCTTCTACAAACAGTTTATATATATTTTTAATATATATAAATATATTTTTATGTTGTACAGAAGAATGTCAAACAGGTTTGAAAAAAACGTTTTCATTTTTGGGTGAACTATCCCTTTAAAACCCATAAGTCCCACCCTGCTTTTTTTCCTGCTCATTAAATACATAATTTCACTCATAATATGTGAAATTAAAATTAATTAAAATGAGTCGCTAATGCCATTTAATGTACATTAACACCTAAAACACTTATTTATGATACCTAATGTGGCCATGCCAACAGGTAACTGTGGAGAGAGACAAGGATGAGGAACAAGTCAAATTGTTGATCTCCACTAATGCGACAAGTACATGGTACAAACTGACTGTAAACAAATGACCTTTAGCTCCCCCAAACAGCAGCAGCAGCCGCCAGATTTAAGATCGAATTTATCAGACTGTAACAATATTGGGGTCGACACACACAAGCTCCCCACATCCCAGTGCAAATCACTGCCGCCTAAAAACGCAAACCTTCACAAGTGTGAGTCAAACTCATCCATGCATGCTCTGACAGAGACAAAGCACCCTGAAGAGAAATAAGAGAAAAACATAAGAGGAAAAAAACATGATGCAGAAATAGATCTTTAAAATGGCACTGACACTGGCCGAAGCTTATGGCGGAGCAGTTGAAACGTTAAGTAACCATCACTCGGACAGAGAGATACATTTTGGTGACAAAAAGCCAGACAGATTTGCAGAATCGTACCACCTCCTTCTGGCGGAGAGCTTTTAATTCATTTTCCATCAGACTGAGCATAATGGAAGTTCTATCAGTAAGTCTAGGCCTGTCAAAAAAACAGACTACAGTCGGAGTGTGTCCATGTGTCCCCTGTACGCTTACCTCACTGTCTGATAAGGTCAAATAAGACATTGTGAACACTTAAAGCCTTTAGTCTGAAGGACAAAGATGGCATAACACAGCTGTGTAGCAAATAAATTGTCAGCAAACAAGTCGCATTTCAAACACACCGAATGTAAATGTGAATGCAATGCGAAAAATCAGGAACATTAAGGTATTTGAAGAATGTCAAGGCCTCTTTTTAATATTCCCTGAAGAACGTTTATGCCAAATTATGCAGCTTCCTTAAAGTTTTTATCACTTAGCGTGCCGATGTGTGCCATAAGAATCCATTCTTGAACGGCCAAGAGGGAAGAGCGAATGCTTAGGCAGACAAATTGAAACACTAATTGCACATTACAGACAGATCAGAGGCCAAGCAGTTCAGCTAATGGGATGAAACAACAGATCTGATAGAGATGAAGAACCCACACAACCCAGGACGCTGACAGGCACTGATTGGTTGTATCTTTCTCTGAAAGGCTACACAGAGAAAACATCTCGTTATTCAAGGTTTCATTTCAATGAACAAAATGTCTCACCACTATATGTACAATCATTTCCAAGTCCAAAAGTATTCCTATAAAGAAAAATAGCAATGAATCATTTAAAAAAATTCTACATATACAGGTGCATCTCAATAAATTAGAATGTCGTGGAAAAGTTCATTTATTTCAGTAATTCAACTCAAATTGTGAAACTCGTGTATTAAATAAATTCAGTGCACACAGACTGAAGTAGTTTAAGTCTTTGGTTCTTTTAATTGTGATGATTTTGGCTCACATTTAACAAAAACCCACCAATTCACTATCTCAACAAATTAGAATACTTCATAAGACCAATAGATTAATCGATTTGACAGCACTAATTAAAAGATAAAACAGTTGTTATACACAATATAAACAATAATATTGTTAATAATTTTTTATAAAGTTAGAGAAAATTTGGACACACTTGAGTGAATTAATGAATAGCTGCGTCTCATTTAGAAGGCTGCACCCTCCGGAGGTCGAATTCTCTGGAGGTCGCATCCTCTGTAGCATGCATATACGAAGTGTCCTCAACCTAGAATTAAACGAGACGGCCTTCGTAGGACAGGCGGAAAAGGAAACCGGAAGTATCACGTTGCTATGCCAACACATTTAGAGCATCGTTGCGCTCTCACACTACTTAAATGAAGGAAAATTATTTCTAAATTTGGTAAGTAATTTGAAAAAAAAAATGCTTTTACTTGTTTTATTTTGTTCAATGTTTGAGGAGCTGCAGCGTACCTACAGCAGGCATCTATTAGAGAAAAAAAGGAGGAGGATATTAAAAACAAAGTTTATCCGTTATTACCGAGGCGAATTAAGGTAAGTTGTAAACACCACATCTGCACTTGTGTGTACATTACATCTTTGCATCTTGTTCAAGGCGACGCAAAGAATTGTGGGTTATCTGTAGCAGTGAAGGATACACCTCATGCATCCTACGAATTCCTGTGAAAGAAGGTCGCATTCAAAGGTCGCATTCGGAGTGTCCTACTTGCTATTCTGAAATGAGACAGCCTCGATGACGTATGCAGCCTTCGAATGCGACCTCCGGAGGGTGCAGCCTTCTAAATGAGACACAGCTAATGTTTCTCATGATCTCAAAAAAACATCTTATTTAAAGACTTATGGTTAAATGTCAGAAACTAGGATTGCCTATGCATTAATTTCTTTATACAACTAACACTTAAAAATGGTTGAGTTGGATCAGATAGTGAAGAAAAATCAGCCAAAAAGTAGCCAGCATACATTTTACAATCCTTAAATACCGTTTAAAATCATTCCATTTGGACGTTGGTTGAGATAATGAAGACCAAAGAGTTGGCTACTTTGAAGAGGCTAAAATATTTTGCTTGACATTTTTGTTCAAAACATAATTATCCAATTTGTGGATAAGTTCTAATGACTTTACTACTACTCTAAAATGTGGAAAATACTTCTTACTGGTAGTGCAAATATGAGCAGACACAAACCTTCCCCTTCTGCTGGTACTTCTGCAGTTCCTCCAGCACATAGTCCACCTGCTTGCCTGTGGTAAGGGAGGCGATGTTTCCCTCCAGGTTCTTGCAGTAGTGCTGAGCATTGTCATAGCTCTCTCTGCTGGAGTTGATCTGCAGACAGGCCTCCCCAACATTGCTCCAGCTGTCTCCACACAGCTGGGCTACAGAGACGTTACGAGATGTAGAGGAATTAGGAGCTTTTAACTCAAGCCTCATATTTTTCCCATTTCTCGTTTGATCTCTGTTCTTCAGAGACAGCAGGAGAGCTCTTAACATAATGAAAATTCCTCTTCAGAACCAAGTGAAGCTTTAAAAGAGCCAATAGCTCATTTAAGCAAAGTGGCCGGTTAAAGAAATGTCCACAGTGGAAAACGCCAAGCACAATCAGACTGAATCATTTAGCAAATTTACAATTTAAAGAAGACAAAAGGTGTCATGAATCCCAGATTTCTTAGGTCAAAATTTACAAAGAGCACAGACCCCCACAAATTCATGTACAACACAAATTAAATAAGCTCTTTAGGTCATTTACATATCAGCGATAGTGGCGGAAAAAGAGGGGGGTGTCTGTTTAAGTCTGCTGAACACGGGCTCCGTTCAAAAAAACTAGTGACCTTTCTGTCTAGACAACATTTTAAAGTAACATAGGAACGCTCCCGTCACAAAGGCTGTTGCAAAATGCAAGATAACTTCTTTTGGCTAATATACAAACCCAGAATGCACTGTGGCAAGCTCACTGATTTAAATTAATCTAAAATGGCAGATGCATTCAACTAATTAAAATGCACTATTTTACCAAATATATGTGTGCTACATATTTTTATATCACATCAGTAATTTAGCAGCATGTTATAGGAATAGTTTCTATGTCAGTAATAGTTGGAGGAAGTGTTATTATGGACTGGAATTTTGGCCAGAAGCAACAGTTTAAAGTTTATTCTGTTAATGTGTGAAAATTGCTTGACAAGCCCATTTATGGCCATCAATCTCTGTTCGCAAAATAAAATATCTCTCTTATCATCCTCTGCCATTCTTACCAGGAAGGGTGTGGCATTCCTGCTGTTGAGGATCCCATTGGCAACTGAGGTTGAGGGAGCAGCTCTTGCAGTTGGCCATCTTACTGCAAATCTCCAAGTTTCTGATTGGACATTTGGTGAAATTCTTCACAGTCTAGTAAAGAAAACAAAAAGTCAAAAGAGATATCAACAAACAGGAATACTAGTTTATACTGTGTCGTGTAACACCGGTGCCCTCTGCAGGCCAACTTACAGCAGTGCAGTTACTGAGAGCTGAGATGCATTTCTTGCTGTCGCACCACTGACATCCATTAGTGTTGGCGGTACAGCTCGTGCAGTCTGAGAAGCGGTAACATCTCTCATCCACCGTGGCTAGAGCAGAGATAGAGCAAAGATGAAGAGCAAAAAAGTCTAGTCCAAAGAAAAATGGCAGTCCCAAGTATTAATATCCAACAGTTTCGAGGCATACATTAATCTAGAGAGACATCTAAGCTCTTCCACAGCCAACTCTCATATCAGACCTTTAACCAAAGTAGAAGAGAAACATTTAGCACTTCAAACCCCTTCTATTCCCCATTTACTTCTAATCGCAAGACTTCAAAAGGTGTGACTTATGTAGAGAATCAAAGAGGCCTCTGTTCTACGTCTTTCTTTTGACAATCCTTTTCTCCATAATAACGAGTGTCTCCATGTCTTTACTTCACTACATTCACTACACATTAAATATTTAACACAGCAACATTTCTTGCCCTGCTACTTAATCTACAACAAACCTATCAGTTTTAATTATTTTATTAATTATGGCATCAGAAGTTAACTATTTTTTTATTGAATATTCACTATTAACTCTTTTTTATTGAATATTCACTTACTAAAAGGATCATTACATAAGGTGTAGTTAAATAAGTGCATTCACCAGAATTGTAATAACGTGTAATATACAATTACAGTTATTATATAGTATACAGTTATTACAGCACCTCTCCTCTCCAAAATACATAGTTAGTTATTTGTTCAAAACTATAGTTTACAAAACTATATATTATATATAATAAAACTATAGCACAGCAATATTGTGAAATATTATTACAATTAAAAACAACTGTTTTTATACATTTTAATAATGTATTAAAATGAGATTTATTTCTGTTATGCAAAAAAATTTATTTTTAGCAAGTACAATATTATTCAGTGTCATGTAATCCTTCAAAAATCATTGTAATATGCTGATTTGGTGATTCAGAAACATTTCTTACTTTTATCAATGATGAAAACCAATGTCGATTAATATTTAAAAATGTATTTACTTATTTACAAATACAAAAATAAAATAAAAATACCAAACACTTAATACAAAAAACTACACAATTCAGTAATAACACTGATTAAAGTTTCACCAAACTGAATATAACAAAACAGTCCTAATGTAATTTTGAATTTATTCAGTGAATGATTCAAATCAAGCCTAATTAAATTAACTGGATCATAAGAGTAATTTGTTACTGGCTACAATATTCATGTTGTATGTGTTTTGGCATTATTTCAGAGTACGTAGTCTTTTTTTTATTTCATTCAGACTGCAGGTTCTTTTTTTTTTTTAATTGCTGTGGCACTTGAGATTTAACAGCGGCAAACAGCGATGCAGAAAACACAGAAACACTCACACACCATAAACAAGGCCAGCGCTGCCAGGGATTATCCCAGCATACACCTCTCCAAACCTCAGGTTTGAATTTCAAATCAAACGAAATGAAGCCAAATATTGCATTGGCTGGAGGTCCACACACTCATTCTCAAAGACTAAATTGTGGCTGGTTTTGTGTGATTGGTTGTGTTCTGACAGGTGGCAAAAGATCAAACAGACTGGCAGTCCTGCAGAGCAAAGGAGGGCTGTGTGAAACTCTCCTCTGTGTCTGCTTCAGACAGCTTGTGCCCCCTCCATTACTCTCTCATTAACACAGCCAGTGCACAATGTAGCAGAAAAACCAGAGGGCTTAGATCAGCATACACAAGAAGGGCTGATTTCTTGGCTTGGGCACAGTGGAAAATGTTTTAGCTGAGGGTGGCAGGGGAGTCACTAAGCCTCTTCCAGGCACCTACCAGCTTTGGCAGGGCAGAAAGGAGCAGGTGTAGCACTGTTAGTGAAGCTGGGCTCCCAGGACATGCAGCAGCCCCCTTTCCAAATGCAGCGCACACCAGGGCCTGCGGCCTCACAACGCTCCTGTCCCAGGAAGGCCTCACAGCTGGGTGGCCTGTAGATTAGTACGTCATTCAGGAGGACGCTGGAGAAACCCCCAAACACATACATGGATCTAGAAGGAGAAGAAGATGGAGTCTTTTAAGTATACAACAACATTTTTTGAGAGAAAGAGAGAGAGAGAGAGAGAGAGAGAGAGAGAGAGTGCGTGCGTTCATTTAGATTTCTCACCCATTACTGGTTACTGCTGTATGTCCAAAGCGATTCACGTCTCTGTGCAAGTTTGGTTTGGGAAGGACCGTCCACTCATCACAAGCTATAAGAAAAAATAATCCGTTTAAGAATTATTTACTTATGATTCAGACATAACTATGCAACATTTAACAAAATTAATATTTTACTGCATAGAACAACTGCAAAAATGTATGTCCCCTATGGAAATGTCCATAACTTTTTAGATTGTATTAATTTTTAATTACAATTTTTATATTATTATTATTATTATTAAGTCTTTTTTCATACCATTTTTTTTACCACATTGCCATTTTCAAAGTTTGAGGTCAGTAAGTTATTTTCAGCAAGGATGCATTAAACTGATAAAAAGCTATTTTTACATAATTACAAAAAAATCTATTTCAAATAAATGCAGTTCCTTTGAACTTTCTATTCATCAAGGAATCCTGACAACAACTAAATTTCCACATTGATAATACTAATAACTAAAGACTATAGTAATGGCTGCTGAAAATGCAGCTTTTCCATCACAGGAATAAACTGCATATTCAAATATATATAAATAGAAAAAAAAAGTAATTGTAATAATACTTCACAATATTATTTTTATTCTATTTTGATCAAATAAATGCAGCCTTGGTGAGCATAAGAAATGTATAACAAAAACATTTAATAAATATTACCAACCTCAAACTTTTTAATGGTAGTGTATATCAAACATGCAGTACAGTAGCACCACAAACCAATGTCATAGGCAAGGAAGTCAGCAGAGAAGCATTTGGCTCCATTGCTAAGAGAGGTGTCATTATGGGTATTTCCTCCAAAGATGAGCAGAGTTCCTCCCAGCAGCACAGACGAATGCAGGTAACGTGGGTAACCGCTTTCTCTAAGAATCGTCCTGCAACACACAACAAGCATCATCAAACTGTTGCTCCAAATCTGAAACTCACGGTTCCTCTAAAATGAACAAATTTACAACGTTTTTTTTGTCTTGAATACGTCTGTGTGCTCTTACCATGTGCGGGTCTGAACCTCATAGCGGTAAAGATCATCCACCAGGCCGTATTTATTTGCTGGAAGAGATTTGTAGCCCCCGTGGACGTACACGCTCTTGCTGCCGCTGTCATACACGCTGCTGTGGCCGTACCCACCCTGAGCGATCGCTCCTCTGATCTCTGGCACCAGCCATGTGTTTGTCCCTGTGCACAGAAACAAAATCATTTACTTTAAAATTAACAAAAAAAAGTGCACCTTTAAGTTTAATATTTTCTTTAATTATAAAACTTGCTTTGCCTCTCAATAACCAGTCTGTGAGAATTTGACTTGATGTTTCAGTATAATGAGTGGAATAACAATGACTTACCTCATTCCAATGAGATCTGGTTTGTACTTTGAGTTCACAACACTTGTAAGATCATTTGAGAACAAAGATTATGCCCTGATCCAGGAGTTTAACAGGATTAAAAAAGGTACAGATTATCCAAAAGCTTCAGCCTAGACACAGAGCCTCTGGATATATTATCTGTTCACTGCTCTTTGCAAAGAACCACAGCTCCATCTACTGGACTGCTGGGGTAAAAATAAAAATCAAATCTGTTTCAACTACTGCAGATCTACTTGTTTTACAGCTGCTCTCAAAAGTTTTCTAGTCTTTAAAATGACAACAAAATGTACAACCAGTGTTGTTACTGTTAACTAAAACTATTAAAACACTTTATTACTTACGTTTTTATATAACAATTTTTAAATGTTTTATTAACTACTAATTAACTATTGAAATAAAGCAGAAATTAAATATAAATTTTAAATGGAAACGTAAATTTAAAAAATGCACCAAAATATAAAATAAATTAAAGTGAAATAGAAATTTTTAAAAAATCACAAACTAATACAAATAACAAAAACACATCAAATGAATAATCAAAATGAAAATTCAATTCATTTTTGGGTACTTGCAGAACTTTTCAATCCCCAATCAAATACACTACTCAGTCACTCACTGATGTTGTACTCCTGAACATTACTGATGTAGCTGTAGATGGAGGAGTAGCCGAAGATGACAACCATCACCACATCACCGTTATCCAGCTCTACTATATGGGCAGAGTGGCCTTCCACAGCGTAGACCAGGCCATGGGCTGGAACACTGGGGGACTTCTGCGACCACGTCATTTTGGGTATGTTAAACACCCACAGTTCATCTGTTACGTTACTGGCACCCATCTCCAACTTGCCTCCAAACATGTAGATGTCACTCTGAAAGAAGCAAAAATGATTTCATAACATGTTTCAAGAACGTTTCTTAGTAATCTACTGAACAATATTCCAAACTGAGATTTGCCAAAATTAACATGCCAGTGCATGTGATTGAGGGCCAGATTTACTAAACAAGGTAAATTAGCATGAAAGTGCAATACCATAAAAGCACAGATGGGAGTGGAAAGTTCCGCAGTTGATCTACTGATAATGCACACATTAAAGAACACAGACACAGCAAGATAATGATGCAATGCAATCAACCACACACACACATTATGAATGTGTTCCCTGTTACTTTTGATCAATTTAATGCATTCTTGCTGAATAAAAGTATCAACTTTAATATACATTTTTAAAAGTATTAAAAATCTTACTGACCACAAACTTTTGAATGGTAGTGTATCTAATACATAAATCAAATCAGGAAATTTGCAGGCTGAATTTAATTATTTAAGTATTTGTAGAAACGCTAATGCAAAGACCATAAACTCCAGGTCAGCTAAAACATCTCTACAAATGATTACATCCATAAACTGTGGAGAAAGCTGTTTTTACTTTAATTATTGCAGAGAAGAGAGAAGAATAACTGCTGTTGCAGGATACTCTTGCTCAGATGATCAAAGCGGCATACACAAACCAAAAGCTAGAACATGTAATCAGCTAAATAGCCTTGTTCACTCATTCAGACACTGATTACAGCTATTTAGCTTTAAGACAAATAAAAAATATTCTTTCTAAATGTTTTTGTAACATTTCAACTGTGGTGTTACCCAATATAGTGCCAAGGAGTGTCCGTATCTCGGCAGGGGTCCGCTACTGATGGGCACAGTGTTCCAGATGCCACTTTCCAGATTATAACTGCAAAGAAAAAAAGTAGTTGCCTCAAAGTTCCTTTCCATAACTAAAGTGGAAAAAAACATTGTTCAGACTGCGATGGCTTCAGAATTACACAAATTATCCAATATTCCAGTAATTAGTACTTTCTCCGAGACGTTACATTTCGAGTTTTGACTGAAATGTCAAATCCACAACGTCGGAATTGCTCCCTCCACAAAGAGCTCCCTCAGAGAACATTTAGGCTCACAGTTTCTACCCTCAAACTGTCAAATTAATCAAACTCTACTCCTACCACAGCTCACAGTGATTTATTATTAGTATTAGTATTATTCCTGCTGTTCTACAGTTTTATTTTGGATTACTGTCACATACACGCATATGCAAATAAGCCTTTTGGTTATGCTGTACACAGCTCTCTGAATTATCACTTACTTTAGAACCATCTGAAAGTTGCTGTAGTTAAAGATGTAGCCACCAACAACCCACATGACCTTTTCCTGCACCACCGCCTTATGAGATGCTCTTCCCAGCGATGCTCCAAAAGGCTTCACTGTGGGCATGATCCAGTAAGACTCAGTGGAGGGCACTGTTAATGAGCAGTCTGGACCTGAGAGAGAGAGAGAGAGAGAGAGAGAGAGAATACATTGTGATAATTGTCATACCAATAAAGCACATAGTGAATTTAGTTGATAGAGAAAGAAACAGAGAGTTTATATTTGCCATAAAATATTTACTTGAAGTACCCATGAGATTTTTAAGTTAATATTTCAATCATTTAAACAACACATTCGCATGTTTATGGTTCTCTAATATTGGTTAATGGTCACATGACATACAAGCAGATAAAATATAATGCTTTATTTTGACTTTGTAGCTGGACTTTAAAGTGGATTCACACTTATTTTTAGTTGTGATAGTGTGCCAAAAACAATAATATGAATGAATTAAAATATGAATACAATGTATAAGTGCACTGTAAAATAAACCTGAAATAAAAATGAGTATTTGATTATAGTAATCTTTTTATTTTACATTACACATTACAACACTAATAATCATGTTTTAAATTCTTCACTTTCAAACTGATAAGCTTTTTAACATTTCAAATCATTTCTCTTTTTTATTTTTTTGTGAAATAATGGTGAAATTCTATAAACATGTTATCACTTTATGAAATGTTGGAAATTGTGCAAATCTGTAAATAAAAATAAACTTGAGGCCAAAAGATTGGAATAATTAAGTTTTTTTTTTTTTTTCACCAAGGCTGCAATTATTTGCACAAAACATAGTAAAAGACATAATGTGTAATATTACAAATCAAAATAACGGTTTTCTATTGGAATATATTTTATAAATGTAACATTTTCCTGTGATGGCATGGCTGAATTTTTAGCAGTCATTACTTAAGTTATCAGTGTCACATGATCCTTCAAAAACCATACTAATATGTTCACAGTATCACTGTTTTTACAAATAAATGCAGCTTCTGTGGACATGAGAGGCGTCTTTCAAAAATACTTCAAAATCTTAATTACTCCAAACTTTTGGCCAACAATGTGAAACCTTTGAATCCCTGATCTAAGGTAATATCTGTCTTATTATATTTACTATTTAAAAACATATCACTTAAACAGGTTGGTTCTGACAGCTTTTTACAGACATTACTATGACCACTCACACTTTCTCTAACTTGCTATTTCCTGTGTCTCCTCACATGAGGCTTAGTGAGAAGCTGGCCAGATAGGCCCATTAAATTAGCTTCAAAGCATCCTCCTATGATGGCATGGCTGAATTTTTAGCAGTCATTACTTAAGTTATCAGTGTCACATGATCCTTCAAAAACCATACTAATATGTTCACAGTATCACTGTTTTTACAAATAAATGCAGCTTCTGTGGACATGAGAGGCGTCTTTCAAAAATACTTCAAAATCTTAATTACTCCAAACTTTTGGCCAACAATGTGAAACCTTTGAATCCCTGATCTAAGGTAATATCTGTCTTATTATATTTACTATTTAAAAACATATCACTTAAACAGGTTGGTTCTGACAGCTTTTTACAGACATTACTATGACCACTCACACTTTCTCTAACTTGCTATTTCCTGTGTCTCCTCACATGAGGCTTAGTGAGAAGCTGGCCAGATAGGCCCATTAAATTAGCTTCAAAGCATCCTGATGTCAATCCTCCATCAGGTTAAATTTTTGCTTTGACATTTTGTGACACTGTGGCAGTGTCTGAAGAGGTCGCTGCAGTGATGCAGAGGTGACAGATGCACTATTAGAGAATCAACACCAGGGGGAGACAACCCACATGACAACAAATCTACCTGAGAAGCAATGCACTTTTTCAGCATCCTGTAACATACAGGAAAGGGGAGGAAATGAGAGCGGAAGTGAGTAGTACCTTGCCAGCTGTCATTGCACACGCACAGCTTTTCCCCAGTGAGGTCGCAGTAGCCGTGATCGGGGCTGCCACAGTTGTTCCTGCAGTACGGGATATCACAGGCCTCACCCTTCCAGTACTTATCGCATTCACAATACACACGGCTCGCTATCGAGTTCCCCGAGGTGCACTTCCCGTGGCCAGAGCAGTTATTTGGACATGAGTTGATTCTGTCGAGGGGGAGATGAAGAAAAAGGTTGCAAAAAACAAACAAGGGGAACTTTCTACTGAAAGCCTGAAATAGGCGAGGGTATAATGAGCAGGACAAAGCCTATGATTACACTGAGAACAAAACATGCACAGAGGAGATAAAATGAAGACCTCTTTGTGATTACATGTCGTAATAACACCTGGACGAACTTGCAGGCTTTTTTCAATAAAAATAGTGCTGATGCGTGTCATTAACTCACGAGTAGAAGATTTCAAATCCTGTCAGGTTGTAGGCAGCGTCGCTAAAAAAGTGCAGGAGTGCGTAGCCTGAGTTGGTCTCCACTTCAGGGACGGTCTCGTTCCCTTTCACTTCAGGGACAATGAGACCACTGTGGGACAATTACAGAAAAAAAGGCTTGTTAGGATAAGATCTCTTGTTTTTTCATAACAGCAGTAGCTAATTCCATTTGTCCTGCAGTAAAGTGAAACTTTCCTGCGTGACTCCAGGCCAAAGGTTTTTCAAACTGGGCTCAGAGGGCCACAAGGGAGAGTTCAGGGTCCTTGGAAAATTAGAATTTTTGATTTGACAAAATCTATTTTTAGGTTCACATGCTGACTTAAAATATTTATTAAATATGTAAAATGCAATATTTATATATACACACACATACATATATACACACACATACATACATACATACATACATACACATATATATATATATAGAACATACTTTCCAGAAGGCCAACAATTCACTAAAAATGTTTTTTATTGGTCTTATGAAGTATTCTAATTTCACAATTCACAATTAAAAGAACCAAAGACTTAAACTACTTCAGTCAGTGTGCATTGAATTTATTTAATACACAAGTTTCACAATTTGAGTTGAATTACTGAAATAAAATGAACTTTTCCATGACATTCTAATTTATTGAGATGCACCTGTATATATATTACTGCTGTCAAACGATTAATCGCATCCAAAATACGTTTTTTTTTTACGTTTTTACATAATATGTGTACTGTGTATATTTATTATGTATATATAAATATATAATATATATATATAATATATATATAAGAAAAACGTGTTACATTTATATACTAAATATATTTATATATGATATAAATTATATGAATATAAATATACACATGTAAATACATGTAAATATTTTCAAAATATATGCTGTTTGTGTGTATTTATATATTCATAATAACAACACACACACACATATTATATAAACAAAAATATGTATTATATTTATTTGTATTATATTTATATATATATTTATTTGATCAGATACTTACTGATCAAAAGTTTGGCGTCTGTAAGATTAATTTTTGAAAATCTACACTGCACTTACTTGATCAAAAATACAGTAAAACAGTTATCTTGTTAAATATTATTAAAATAAGTATTTTCTATTTGAATACATTTTAAAAAGTAATTTATTCCTTTGTCTTCAAAGCTGAATTTTCAGTAGCCATTACTTCAGTCTTCGGTGTCACATGATACTTCTGAAATCATTCTAATAGTCTGATTTGGTACCCAATTAGCATTTTTTATCATCATCAATGTTAAAGTTGTGCTGTTTAATATTTTTGTGGAAATTGTTTTTTTTTCTTTCAGTTTTTCTACAATTAACAGAATAGCATTTATTTAAAGCAGAAGTCTTTTGTAATGCATCTTTGTTGAATAACAGTATTAATTTCTTTTTTTTAAATCTGACCCCAAACCTTTGAAGAGTAGTCTACATTGCTAGTGTATGGAAAATCAGATATGCTGTCAAATTAATACAAAATAAACTTTCCATATAACATTAATTATTACCTTTTGATTTGCTCAATAACAATATAAAATCCCATTATTTGCAGCATTTTTTAAAACAATGTGTTATATATATATATATATATATATATATATACACACACACACACAGGTGCATCTCAATAAATTCATTTTTCTGAAGTCCACAGTCAACGCAGCCATCTACCAAGAAATTTTAGAGCACTTCATGCTTCCTTCTGCTGACAAGCTTTATGGAGATGCTGATTTCATTTTCCAGCAGGACTTGGCATCTGCCCACACTGCCACAGATTTACTAAACAGGGCATTAGCGTTAGAGCACAATTCCATAAAAGCGCCGATGGGAGGGGAAAACTCTGCGGGTGATTTACTGACAATGCGTACATTAAAGAACATTTCCAGAATGACCAGTGCAATCTACCAAGAGCAGTGCAAATTACCTCCTGCGTTTTTTGGGGCGTTAAATAATGGCAAAAATACCAGCAATATGACGAGCTCAAACATTAGTAAATCATGTTGCGCGATTCATTTTAATACTCTCCTCCCATAAATTTTGCATCTGAAAGTAAAACTCTTACGAATGCATATTCAATAAGGTCAGGCACAAAAATAACTGTGTCCACGCCTTTTCAGTGCTAATCCTTCACTGCACGTCTTTAATAAATCCTGACAGTACTATTTTGGTCCTTAATATTTCTATCATAGAGTATAAACTGGTCTTTATGCATAAAAATAATAGTAAAGATAACAGTCCCTCAAAGTGAATCACCATACTTGTGGGGGTGCTTAGCATCGGAAAGTTCAAAACCCCTGTTCTTCTTTCAGAAAACACACTCACCTGAAGACGGCTACTAAGGGAGCATAAATCGAATCTCCGTCATAGACGTACATGTGGTCCCAGCTACATTCGGTCGCAAAATGGTTAAATCGTAACCTCAGGACTGCATTTGGGCTGCAAAACAAAGGTGATGACATAATGCTTAAGAATGTCTTGCTGGCTGCATAATCCATTATGAGAACACATTACAGCATAATCATTTCTGCCAAGTCTGAAAGGTGCAAGGGCGGAATGTGCTCCTCCAAGCCTTTTCTGGTAACCCAACACAGAAGAAAACACCCTTGTAAGGGCTGCTGAAGGGTATTTAAATAGGGGTTATGCAAGAGGGAAGTGTGGGCACAACAAAATTTTAATGAGAAAGAGAAAAGAGGACGGAATAACACTTACTAGCCCTCAATCAGCCAGGTGCACTTGGTTTTGTGAACATGTTATTGCTGCTTGCATAGCCAAACACTCCTCAGGGCGTATTCTACAAGGAAATCAATCTAAGTGGCATTGCTAAGACCTTCTGTCCTGCTGTTCTTGAATAGAGCAAAAAGAAGAACTGAGCTGGTGTTGCAAAAGCATCCTAGAGTGGATCAGAGGAAACCAACACATCAATATTCACAATATAAGGCTATCTAAGAAATAGATTGGTTTGTTTCTTCATTAGAACAGATTTGGAGAAATTTTGCATTATATCACTTGCTCACCAATGGATCCTCTGCAGTGAATGGGTGCTGTAAGTATCAATGAATGTCTTGTGAAGTGAAAAGCTGCATATTTGTAAAAAAAGATTTTTACTTAAGACATTAAATGATGGACTGGAGTCGTGTTGTGGATTACTGTTATGTTTTTATCAGCCGTTTGGACTCTCATTCTGACGGTACCCATTCACTGCAAAAGATCTATTGGTCAGCAAGTGATGTAATGCTAAATTTCTCCAAACCTGTTGTGATGAAGAAACAAACTCATCTACCACTTGGAAGGCCTGAGGGGAAGTATATTTTCACTGTTTTCATTTTTGAGTAAGCTATTCCTTTAAAGGTAAAGTTTGCCATTTCTGTGCTAAACAAAACAGCAAAAATGGCAACTACTTATATATGATTGTATACATGGTAATTAGCATATTCAAAATAAAATGAAAAAGACAGACATTCATTAACTGCTAGTAGGGATGTAACGATTAACCGCGAGCCGGTTGAAAAACGATTCAAATATGTGACGATTCAAATCGGTTGAGACGCTAAACAAATCGCGATTCAGTTAGGGGTAGGAGTTTATATGAATGTATGTCTGAGGGGAACTTACGGTCTTACGATGGTATTTTTTCCTTTCCTTATGCCTCTGTATAATGCATATCAGGGCTCCAGACTCATTCTTCCCACTGGTCACTCTTTTGCAACTAACTTTCTCCTGGTCGCACGAGCACATGATTTGGTCGCAATATTTATTTATTTTTTGCGCTACAACATGGGGTTATTCAATGCATGCTGATGAACTTTTATCACTGTTTATAGTTATATAGAAAAAGTGGTTAACATTCAACCTGTTCTTTATCATCAGTAGTATTATTTGTGATTTGAATTTTGTGAATGGGAGTTTCTCTTTTGCGGTGTTAAGGCTTCAGATGCTTTCACTTTCGAATTTGCGATCTTGTTGTCACTGTTTTGCTTACATACATCTACACACCTTTCCTTTTTTAAGACTAAAACAAAAGATGGATTCATTGTTATTCTTAATCAAAAAGCACAACAACAAAACAAAAGATGTATTCATTGTTATTCTTAATCAAAAAGCACAACAACAATAAATCAGTAAGATACAATGACAAACTAGCTTACAAAACGTTTATTAACAAAAACGAATAAGACGAGGCATGTCACACACCACATGCTGTATTATATACCGACTAATAAATTACAGAACGTTTCGCAAACTAACGGTGACAGTGCTTGCATGTTTTTCCCCCACAAAAATACCAGCATGTTCACCTTCTCTGGTTTAAGAAGCGGTCTTTTACTTGACTTTCGCTAGAAAACCATCGTTTCCTCAATATGCGCGTCATTTTTGCTGTAGCTGAGTAGGTATACTCTCTAAGCGCTGTTTCGCTATGCTTTCAGTTTCGTTTGCCCTTTGATGTTTCTCATATGCAACAGAAATTGAAGCGCTTATGAGTTGACCAACTCGGTGGTCACACCAGTGCGACCGCACAAAATTTAGTCGCACAGGCAGAAAAAATGGTCGCAGTCTGGAGCCCTGCATAAGTTCATAAGTGCAGCGCTGCTTTGTTTACAGCAGAAACCAAGAAAACGCTTTAAGCGCCACCTGCTGGCAGAGAGTGAATCTGCGTCTCATTCAGTTCTGCTGTTTCAGTTTCATGCAGATATTTTTTATGCATAGTTTCACAAAACTTATGTCAAACCATTCTGTTTTTGCTTCAAATTAAGAAATTATACAATGTAATTTAGATTAAAAACTGCTCATGTTGCATGTATGCAGCATCTTTGTTTGGATCATGATTAAAATGCAGTGGTTGCCTCTAATTTTAAACGGCAAGAGCACAGACAAAGCCTTAGTTTGTTTATATGAAGAGATTTATTTTATTTGTGTTACTTATTTATTTGATTTGGGGCTTGTTTTAAATTTAGTTTTGTTATTTACATTTAAATTTAATTTAAATTGTGTTACTTAGCAAACGCTTATATCCAAGGCGACTAACAAATGAGGACAATAGAAGCAATCAAAACCAACAAAAGAGCAATAATATGCAAGTGCTATATTAGTATATTACTATAGTGTTATATTTAAATTTCACAAAGAAACGCACAGTGTTTTGTCCAAGCAATAATAAAAGGACACATTTAATTTGTAATTTGTCTTAAATCTCATTTTGTTAAAAAAAAAATCGTGAATCGAATCGTGAAATAAAAATCGCGAATCGAATCGTGAGTTGAGTGAATCGTTACATCCCTAACTGCTAGTCTTCTGGAAAAACAGGAGATGCTCGCTTTTGCCATTCATCATGTCGCTTTTTTGTAATTCTGCACAGTAATTGAATGAGCTCATTAATTCTCATTCAGGTCTCCGACAACAGCGCACAAGAGAATGTCCTTGAGTCTTACTGTGCTTTTGCTTGTCTGTTTATTTATCTGTTCATGCCTTTTAATGGGTGTAATTAAATCGATCTCTTCCTCACTCTACACGTGTGTTTCTTCCTAGACTTTTCTCAACTTCCTGTGTCACATCAGCAATCTAGCTGACTGGTACATGTTCTCATTTACATTGGCTCATAGTCTGTAAAGATAATTTTTGCCCTGCAAGCAAATTTTCCATTACAGTGAATATTCCAAACAAGGTTTTAAATCCCATCACATCAGAATTATGATTAAAACAAGCAGGTTTCTATAAACTATATTTTGGCTTCATTTGGTTATGTAAATAAGGTCAACACAGTGCCCTCCAAAAGTTTGGAAACTCCCTAGGCAAAGTGGGATTTTGGACAATGTCAGAATAACTTATTGAACTGTTATCATTTGAAGCAATAACCATTTCTTATTACTTAATACTCTTAATAATATAAATATATATACACTACCATTCAAAAGTTGAATGTTATCAAAATGTCTTTTCCATTAAGCAAGGTTTCGTTATTTTGATTAAAGATACAGTAAAATATTATTACAATTTAAAATAACTACTCTATTTTAATATATTTTAAAATGTAATTTGTTTTGCTTCAGTGTCCTTCAGAACATGATCCTTCAGAAATCAATCTAATATGCTGATCTGGAACTCAAGAAACATTTCTTAAATTATCAATGTTGAAAGCAGATGATTAATATTTTTGTGGAAATCGTGATGATTTTTTTTACATTATTCTTTGAAAAGAAAGTTCAAAAGAACAGCTTTTAATTGAAATCAAAATATTTTATAACGAGTCTTTACTGTCATTTTTGATCAATTTAATACATCCTCGCTGAATAAAAGTAACAATTCCTTTAAAAAAAACTAAAACTTTTGAACAGTAGTGTACACATCACCATCAGACCTTTTTTCATTTTTGAAGATAATTGAATCAGAACATGTAGCCTTACTTTAGCTAATCAGCTTTAGACAGATTATATACAGTGGGGCAAAAAAGTATTTATTTAGCCACCAATTGTGCAAGTTCTCCCACTTAAAAAGATGAGAGAGGCCTGTAATTTTCATCATAGGTATACCTCAACTATGAGAGACAAAATGAGAAAAAAAAATCCAGAAAATCACATTGTAGGATTACTTTTCTGCTTTTATTTCTATACTTTTATATATTTTGTGTCTAAATTTTTCTATAGCATTCCAAACCTTTTAGGGTGCTGACCATATGATCCAATATATCCAAATTCTGTAATGAAAGAAAACCTACATTCATAAGTGTGCATCACACAGCAAAGTGAAAACAGCCTGCAAACAAGTCATCATTGTGGCTGTATTTCTCTTGTAATCATTCCTCACCTAAAGTTAAGAATTTCTGAACAAAATTTCTGACATACATCAAACCTAGTGCAAATGCTGAAAACCTGGCACTAGCATTCTTGTTGTAGGTTAAATCGTAGCCTATTAACAAGCTATTTCTCCACTTTGTGTTCTGCATGTCTATAATCAGACACTGAGATTTTAAGAGCAGTTAAAAACAGTAATCACGGTGCACCACTTCCTGTGCCGGGGAGGACATCCCTCAGGATGTATGTTGGTGAGAGGGATGTTTCTTTGTTTGGGGACACGCTCATCGGCCCAGAAGAGAGGGAACTGTAGGTGAGCCAAGTTAAAATATTTACCAGGTTTTCATGAATCTTTTATAGCCCAGTACCACAGCAAATGTATCCACCAACAGCCAGGATTAATACCTATCCCAGCGGCTTTGAAGCCGCCACTGGACAAGGTTCACTCAGCCTCGCTCAAAGGATGGCCTCGGGCATTCAGAAAGGGACGAGAAGGGAGTTACACAAAGATCTGCAGAACAGCCAATGCAATATTACAAAAAAACAAAGACTTGTGTGCTGAAGGTAAATGGGGTCTAAAAGGTGCAACTCAGCACTGCAGTCAGCCATGCCCAAATGTTAGCCTAACAATTTGCAAAGTGCAATTAGAGAGGGCCTCTTCGTCAGCTAACTCAAGCCCTCAGTGACCTGCCACGTGAAGAGGAGTCATCTGTCCATCACTTCCTGAACGTGCCTGTCCTCACAGCCCTTGTCTTCCTGTGGTTGGCATGTTGCCTCCCACTCCCACCTCTTGTTCGTTAAGTTGTTGTGTAACAAGAAAGCCGTTTTTAGTACCATGATGTGGAGGCAAGGACACTAGGTTAGGACTGCTGAACAATTCAGGTTTGTTCATTTATTTGACAAGTTGTGGTATCATCTATCCACTGTACAACCGTTTAAAGGGAGAGTACACCCTCAAGGTGTTCC